AAGCCGTTGCCAAGTAAATTCAGACACGGCCAGTACTGCTCGGAGTGGATTTCGCTAATAGCGCCCGCTACCGGTCGCTTTGGTTTAGGACCTATTCAGACTATTGGCCGTAAACGTTAGTTACAGCTAAAATAATCCACAGTACTATTGTGAAACAAGGCTATGTTGTCATTACTAGTTGCCTCTTACTTCTAGCCCAAAAAGGCCTCTGACGCCGAAGCAGACACAATTGTCAAAATGAGATTCGAAGATACCGTTCCGTATACTACCACAACCATTGTAAAAACTGTCAAAATGTGACATGGTTTATTTTTTTACTAAAAAGTATTCCTAGTCATTCAAAACGAAGCATCAAAGAACTTTCATATTTCTAAACCTAGACAGTTTATACTTTGATGACCTTATTGAGGAACGTGTATATGAAACACGGAAACTAAACCAGAGTTATCTAAAGGACTTAGCATAACACGAAGTACAAGTACATGAGACACCAAGAACGCCGCAAGGATAAGCCAGAATAAATATACCATTGCAATTGATGTGAACATGATTGTTATGGTTCATCGAGCACTATTTACGTAAAGAATGTCTGTTTTTGTTGGCCCTATTGATAACGCAATGTACAAAATACGCAATACATGTCTGAAAAAAAGGAGGAAATAAAAATTAAAATACATGCAAAAGGCTGCACCATTCAGATCACATGACGAGTCTTCACACTGACGAGTTTTCACTGGATTCGTATGTATTACAATTCCGTGTGTATGATCCATCAATATAGTTCTATAAAGGCCTAGATCTGCCGAATTATCGTTCAACAGGTAAGCATTACATGTCTTAAGAATTACTGAAAGTATGTCTTAGATTTATGTTACATTTGTGATTTGTAAACTGTCTGAATTGCTCGCATGAAAATGTCATATGAACGAAATTTGCACAAGAATTTCACGCCCTATATGGTGTGATGTGAAATGAACGGAACTTCGCATCAACCACGCCATCTTTATGGCGTACATTATGGCGGCCTCACACGAAATGTTCAGTGCATATTCCTTGTACCTTCCAGTATTAATTCCTAATTCGGACTGTAAAGAGTTAGAACGATTCAGATTTAGAGATCGTTTAAAGCGGAAACTGTAATTCCGTCTTCGTGTCATTGGTGGCTAGAAAGGAGAAATTCGGCCTTTAGGCAAAATATTTTTTTTTTAAATGCTGGTTAAGAAATGTTATTGACTTTTCGACTTCCATCCTATTTAACGAAGATTCGAAACAAAATAATTATCCCTCTTTAGATTAAAACAAAATCATGTTTGCATTATGATGTTACAGTTCAGAGTCTGGTCTTTTGGTCCCAACGTTATTGAAATCCACTGCTTGTCAACGTGCGGAAATAATTGTGTAAAATTAAAAATTGCTAAATTCTGAAATAAAAAACTTCACATCTATGCTGCAGGCTTACACAAGACATCCTGGATCACCCATTTTTATAAATTGTCTGCATTATTTGGTTTCCGGTTATCTTAGGCTGTTGGGTCTGAAAACAAGACAAACGTTACCCCCATGACACCCCAGGTATGCACTTAAGTATCCAAAGGAATGGATTCATGACATGTTTTCTGATTGTAAACTAATCAATGAGGGGCAAAACTGGTGAACATGACAGGGCACAGGGGGACTTTTCTGAACTCCAAAATATTGGGTACTTTTGTTGGGATGCGAAAAGGCTTTCGTCAGAAGGCACTAGAAAGCATCATCAATTTCAAAACTTTCCGGGGCTCTGGGCATGCCCCGCACTCCCCCCCCCCCCCCCGCCCGGCAGGGCGTGCCTTCTGCTGGCCTTCATTCAAACCTGTTTCCTGAAAGTAGAATCCGCCCCTGCACTTTGCTCGCAGACGCAAGATTCAATGTTTGTGATAATTTATTCATCTGTTTTTGAGTTGCAATTTCCTTGAGACGGCAAGGCTCCCCTGCCCCGCCCCCAACCCCGCCCCTAAGACCTAAGAGATTAAATTGATTCGATGTATGTCTTGATCACCTATGAGAGCTCAGAGTATTTTCCCTTTTTTTTAAGTGGGGGGGTATTTATCATTGCTGCCTATGGGAACTTATTTCCTGGTCATGCAACCATAGGTCGTTTCCGAAGTTACTTGGCTACGGCTAGAAGTTACACAGGAGTCTATGGGAAGCGGTTGCAGCCACTTCTCATAGACTCCTGTGTAATTTCAAGTCGTAGCCCACTACTTCGGACACGGCCAAAGTAACTGGTCGGAGTGGAATGCGCTAATAGCGCCCGCTACCGGTCGCTTCGGTTTAGAGACCTATCAGACTATTGGCCGTAAACGTCAGTTACAGGGGAAAAAAGTCGATAGTACTGCTTTGAACCAAGGCTATGTTGTCACTACTAGTTGTCACCTACTTCTAGCCCAAAAAAACCTGGAACGCCGAAGCAGACATTTAATAACGGTTGGACAATAATTGTCAAAATAGAATTTGAAGAAATCGTTCCGTATATACTATGACAACTATTGTATAAATTGATTTACATCGCCCCGACGCAAAATCCACTTGATGCATAGTTTAATTGCGGTACCCGCTGCTACATGTCAGGGGTGTGATTTTTCCGGATTTTAAGTCTAACGTCTGCGGAATTTTATGTGGATTCCGGATTTCCAACGTTTTCTGTTTCCGTAACTTCTGGCAAAATATAGGCCCTAATTTACGATAATGGATGGACTGGTAACACAAGTCTAATAAGCAGTGCGGTCAAAAACCTGGTAGACATCAATACAGTGTGCGCAGTGGAGTACTTGAGGACCAGACTAAAAATAATTTTCAATGGGTTTGCACCTTGCGTTTGTATATCGCGTGTGGATGGGTGTGTGTGTATTGTGTATGTATTGTGCAGTGACGATCAAATTTGCAAACACATTGGTGTCAATATTGTCAAGGAATTTAAGAGTATGGTTGGAAGAACTGGTAATATATTGGGCATAAAGTGTCACTGTGGATGGAATCAGTTTGAGCTGCAGTAGTGCTTGAAAAATAGCCACCACCAACACAAAATTTCAAAAATGTTTTGGAAGCCTGGGACTGGAGTTTAAAGTAAGATTACTATCAATAACTTTATAAAGCACCGTTCATATTTTTTGTGTGAATCGTTTCTCTATGCAAACACTGCAAAAGTAATAACATCACACATAGAAAAAGACATATTGAGTCAATCACGTATATCGTTTCTTTCTCTCTGCAAACACTGCAAAAATAATAACATCACACACACAGAAAAAGACATTATTGAGTCAATCACGTATGGATTATCATTATTTAATGACCAGACATTTTTTTCCTTATTTTTCCCCCATTTGTTTTCTTTACTGAAGCGACAAAGTTTGCAAACATAACAGAAATTACGGTAATCCTTACTTTTAGGACCCCGTTCCTATATAGGAAGGGAAAGACTCACCAAAACAGTTGACTAAATGGCACTCAAAATTGACATTCTGATATTTCTTGACACATCTGAACAATTGGCAATGACACCTTCTTGAATATCAGCAGGTTTAAATTTGTGGAAAGAGGGCAGGGCTTTGATTTATATGAGGGAAATTAAGGGGTAAAAGACGACGATAACAACCAGAAAACAGACTCAAAAACCAAGATGGCAAACATGAAAGCTCCATGCAATAAAAGCTCGATGCTGATTGGCTGATAAAAGAAATAAATATCTTATTTTTTTTTTTGCAGCGTCTGCGAAATGTCACTTTGCAAGAGTCACTTTGGTACTGTGGACATGAGTCATCTGCAAAAGTCAGTTTTGAACAGAACTTATAGCTTAGAGGTGTCCTAAAGATAAGGATTACCAAAATTACAGTACATAAAAATGTACATGCCCTATATATGGATATACGTACATGTACAATAATACATGTACATGTATACATGTCAACCGAAGTTCGTGGATTTTTCATTTTTGTCCAATCACATCACCCCTGACATGTACATCAGATTCGAGCCCGCCAACCTTTCCCGCAAGCTCGGTGGTCGAGTGGTAAGGCATCTGCACTATAGAAAGCAGGAGTTCGTGGGTTCGAGTCACACCTGAGTATTTTTTTTCCAACTTTCACTCGGGAGCTAACACACTGAGTATGCAGTGTTTATACGTCGGTGCAGGGCAAAACCTAACATTGAGGTACATCACCCCGACGCCGCATGACGAATAGCATTGTATAAATTGTCAAAATGTGACATGGTTTAATTTCGTACTAAACAGTATGCCCAGCGATTCAAAACGAAGTAACAAAGAACTTTCATATTTCTAAACCTTGACAGTTAATACATTGATAGCCTCGTTAAGGAACGTGTACTGGAAACACGGGAATACAGGAGTTAAAGGGAATATACAACATTTGCAAACATCGAAAAATAAAACTACCAAGTTTTTACGAAATACCTTACTAGGATGTTGGTAAATGACAGTCTAAAGCATCCTGTAAAATTATGGCACCTGGTGTGAAGTCATTTTCAAGAAAATTGTATTTTTGTATACATTTCCAACGGTGGTCGGCCGACTACCGTTGGAAAAACCAATCTTTTTTTCAACTACTGCTCCAACTTTACACTTTTTTCAGTCCAAATTTTGTTTGGTATTGGTTACATGTTCATGAACGGGTGCAGGCCAGCTAGACTGGTTCCCTTACCTTACAATTTTCCGGCATTTATAAATTGATCCATTTTATCTTTAGTGGAGTCAAGGAACCAGACTACTTGAACATTTTTGTTTTTCTTGGTTTTTCCAGCATTTTCGAACACAAAACTTCAAACATGTCAGTGTAACAATATTTGATCTATGATACTAACCCCTCAAATAGTTCATTTCTGAAAATTACAGCAAAAGCCAATGATGTATATTCCCTTTAACTCAAGGCTAAAGCCTAACAGGAAATACACGGGCAGGAAGTACACAGCGCACTGCAGCTTTGATAGGCCAGAATATACACCACTGAAATGTGTGTTATTGTATATCGAACACACTTTGCGGAAGGATGCCTGGTTTTTTTATGATAATACAAATTTACAACTTAGGCCTACATAATAAATGTTTTGAAGGGAAAAAGAGGAAGTAAAAGAGAAAAAACCACAAAACTGTAGCATTCAGATAACATGACGAGTCTTCACACTTGACGAGCTTTCACTGGATTCACATAACTACAATGTGTATGTTCCGTCAAGATAGTCCAGAGGAAATACAGGCCTGCCGTTATCGTTCTGGTAAGCAATGTCTTCAGAATTCAGTAGTTGGTCCCCGTTCCTTAAAGGATTAACTCGGATTTCAGAGAATTTAAACTACTAGGATTTAGTGATTGCTTCATGTAAAGCAAGAACTGAAATTCGGTCTACATGTCATTAGTAACTAAAATCATATACAAAGGAGAAATTCGTCCAAAATATTGCATAATAAAGTAATGTCGCTTAAGAAATGCCATTGACTTTTCGTCTTGTATCCTTTCATCAAAGATTCAAAACAAAATAATTGTGCCTATTTTATTTAAGATATCACGTTCGCAATGTGATGTTACGGCTCTTAGGCCAAAAAAAAATAAGTCTCCGGTTTCTGGTATGGAGCTTGCCCAAAAAGTGGTGCGGCGACTCGGCTTTTTTTTTTTTTTTACCTGATTTTTTTGCCTCAAATGTCGGCTGATGACTGCAAATGGTGCCCGACTAGACAAATATATGGGAGTCCAGAGAGGCCACATAAAGCTTATTCTCGATCCTAACCCCATCTAAAAACAAGTTAAAATTGTGCACCAGCAGGATTCCAGTCAAACCATTGAGTTTGGCTGTTTTGAGACATCATCTTTCATTGAAAAAAAACTGTTTCATTTTGCCGACGCGCATGGCTACGGCGACGCGCGCGCATACCAGAAACCGGAGACTTTTTTTTTTGGCCTTAGTCTGGTCTTTTGGTCCCTACGTTGTTGAAATACACATAGCTTGTCAACGTGCGTAAAAAGTACGGGCCACAACCCGGAAATAATTGTGTAAAAATTAAAACAATTTGCTCAAAGAACACAACTTCACATCTTTGCTACAGGTTTACATGAGTCGATCCTGGATCATCTATAGCTACATTTTCTGCAATATCAAAACAGCTTAATTATCGTCTTTCGAGCTCGATCGACATAATCATCTTCACTTCAAAATGCAGTCTGGTGTCTGTACCCTCCTGGGAGTGTTGATTGCTTTGTCGGTGACTGGTGAGTATTATGTCTTCTTGATTATGTATCTTCAAACACCGAACCTGAATGATGATCATGATTTATAGTACTCTGTTGCTGTCAAGGGCGGATCCGGGGTGGGGCAATTAACAGGGGGCCATGCCCTCCCCCCCCCAAAAGACACATATTCTCGGGGTTTTTTAAGTGATGTCGCAATGAAGGCAGGCACTGCGTACACCGCCATCTTTGTGGTCTTAAATTGCCTCAGATCGCACCACAGAGCATCCAGAATCCGAAACAAATTCGGGGCCCCGAACTTTAACCCCATGCCGTGATTTTTGGGACCCACTTTTGTAGGGAACCAAGATTGCTTTGCCCTCGCCAAACATAGCAGTTACACGTCGTAATTGACTCGATGTTAGGTTCACGCCAACGGCGGATCCGAGGAGGGCAACGGGGGAAATCCCCCCCCCCCCAAAAAAAAAAACCAACCAGTTTTGTATTTTAACTGTGACGTCGTAAAAAAGGCAGCCATTGCGTACACCATCTTCTTTTGTCAAAAACAATTGGTTAAAGTTGTCAGAACTTTTCTGAGATTGCACCACAGATTACCTAGAAATCAAAAATTTGCCGGGCCCTTAAGCGGGCCCCGAAACCGATGCCGAAAATGTTTCATTCCATTTTAATTTTTTTTTGGGGGGGGGGGGGACAATACCCCCTCCAAAAAAAGTGTTTGGATCCGCCCTTGATTCACGCTAAACACGTTTAAACAACTCATTGTGCAGCGTTATGAATCAAGACTTTTGGAGAACCCAACTAAAACAGACCCAAAAAAAAAAGAAAATCGAAAACCCCAAACCCAAAGAAGTATATTTCATGTTACAAAAATATTTGTAGCACCTGCACCAAAAACAATTATGACAGGTAAGCAACTTTTAGTTGATGTAAATATTCTTCAATTCCTCAATCCGTTCAAATATATATCAATATTTAAACGAAATGACCCCAAAATCAGTTTCAAAAGCAATTAATGTGTGTTCTGACTGTTTGGAACAACAAAGGAAATGCCACAGAATACTTCTTTCAAAAACATAACTGTATAAATAGTACACAATATCTTTATTAACAACCCTGCAGTATCATGCTTTGGCCAACAATATGATTTATAAAACCTACCCTTTTGAGACGGACCTTCAAAAGGACTTTGTTGAATAGTTTTAACTTCTAAACTGAGGTTTTATCGCTGGCCATGGTGAGGTTTGAAGACAATTGTAACGGTGGTTTTTAAAATTGCACATCACTTTGGACGAAACAGGTTCTAGGGTCATATCATTTGAACGGATTGAACAATTGAAGTAATTTGTTTTCGTCCAAAAAGTAGTTTATTAAAATTGTCTTACCAGTCATGATTATTCTCGGTGCTACATATTTCTTATAAAATATGAAATATATTTCTTTGGGTTTGGGTTCCGCTTTTTCTTTTGACTCACCCTGTATGTTAGTTTGATGATGGAATAAAACCTTAGAGTGGGCTCGACGACTCATTATTGACACTTTATCGTCAATGCAGGTTCAAGCATCGGCCTTCAATGTTACTATTGTATCGGTAGCGTCGACGATTGCGGAGATCCGTTCAACACTACCACTGCCGTCACTATGACGTGCCAAGCGGACGGGAGCACGTGTGCGGTAAATGCGAAGTCTTGTACATTTCACTGCGAAACTTTTTATGCATTTTAATTTCTGGGGAGGGCAGATGAATGACAGTAAAGCACATCACTCTTTTTTGTTTTTAATTATTGTTTACGACATTTTGAGCATGCGCTACACGCACGCGATGTAAATAACTGAAAAAAACCCGCTGTGTTCGCTGCCACCAACTGTCGCAAAAGTCTCCCATTGGTAAGCAAACAACAGCTGGATACTAAGCACGAGCAATATCACATGGAGTTTTGGATTGGCAACCTGCTTTTATATAAGCCAGACTGTTTTCGTGCTAAACACATTTGTGTGCTCAGCAGCGCGGTGAAATTGGCCCCTTATTCCAACCGGTCTTAAACAGTGTGTTTAAAACCTCCTAATCACACATTTATTCCCTCATTATTTTTTACTACATGTAGTTGAAAACCAAGGCCAGGGTTGCTCAAAAACCGCATATGGGTCTTATTCACGAGTCGGCCATATTGAATTGAAAGTGAGGTAAAATCTTTTTCTTTCTTTTTTGAACTTGTGAAGAGAAATAAAATGCAAGTTAATTCCTAATTTATTCCAGTGAATAATTTCAAATTTGTAATTTTAAAATTCCCTAATGTTTAAAGCCAGGTTAAAAAAAATACAGTAAAATAAGGCTGCATTGTGCCTGCATAGATAGTCTGGCGCCATCCCATTGAAAAGTTAACACTTAATGAAATACGTTCAGGGAACTCTTCAAAATGGCCGATTCGTGAATAAGGCCCATTCTCGCCAGTCCACACATTCAGAGAGAAAAAAATATCGCAGAGTGTTCTCCATATCGCCTGAAGATTGTTGTATCACCCTAAGTTATTATTTTAATAGGTTGCGAAGCGCATCGACAATGGAGTTACGCAAATATTCCGCACATGTACACCTGTAAACGTGACCGGTATTGGTGTAGTGCAGTGCACCCCTGGGTGTTTCCCACCACCCATTGATACTTGTGCCGAGTGCTGCATGGAGGACCGGTGCAACGGTGGTCCGGTACCAACCAACGGTGGTCCAGAACCAACCCAACCGACACCAGATCCCGAGCAGCCCCCTCAATCGTCTCCCTCCCCGATAGGCAAAGGGGCCACTTTGGCCCCCAACCTGAAATCAGCCTTGTCCTTGATGGCGGCACTGGCCATGTACTTGGCCCTGTAGTGAAGCCATATGGTATCACTGGACACTTACGAAGGCCCCCAGTAATGGCTGAAGCACTGCTGCCCAATGACGGTTAGCCTGAATAATCCCTTGCGCAATGTTTCAGCCATTACTGGAGACGTATGTTGGTGAACGGTGATTGGCATAGGGTACACAGTACAGGGTGAGTTAAAAACAAAAAAGAACAAATGGCGCCCCCTATTGTCTGAACAAGTTCTGCATATGTATATGGCTAGTTCAAGATCTATGATATTTTAGAATGCCCAAATAATAAGCTTCCTTTTCAGTGAAAGAATCATTCAAATCGCTCACATTTTAAAACAACATGCTTTATAATGTCGAGAGTTTATAGTCTTGCCCTGCCTTCTACTTGGCTACCCGGAGACTTATGGGATTATTCTGATATCGTGTTCAGGATACAACATGGTTTCATTTACTGCAATATCTCGTAGCTTAAACGTGATCCGTGGACATAATTTCCAAACTGTGCTTGTGTTCAAAATTCTATAACTGGAAAAATACACAAGTGATTTGAATGATTCTTTTACTAAGGCCTAATTAATTGGGCTTTCACATCCTTGATCTGGAAAGTGCTATATCTGGAACTTCCTTAGGAAAAAAGGGCCGACATTTGAGTTTCTTTTGGGTTTTTTTACTCACCTTGTGTACAATGTCTACATATTCCTGATATACACAGCAGGGTGACAAGTGAAGCCGTAAAATGTTTACATGTACACAGAAAAGGTACACACTTGCATTGTTAATCCATGTATGTTATTTGGTAATAATTTGGTATCTATAAGTTACTTTTGGGGAGGGGATATAATTGCAATACAAGCACTTACTTGACTTTATTTCCATCCAAGCTAGGTACATAAACAATAATTAGCCACTTTATTATTAGTATACTAAACCACGACAAAATCAAAACATTTTCGTGGTGTTAAAACCCCATGCGTACGGGAAGCGGTCATGGCCGCGGCCGCTAATCCTCATTTGAATGTGTGTTGCCAGCTGTGGTATGCCGTGGCACACGGCTAGTGGGTAGTTCCACAGCTGCTGCTTTTGTGCAGTCCCGCTACCACACAAAGGCTGTGCAGTCATGCGGGCCACTTGCTCTAAGTGTGGAGGAATGTCCCCATTACACCCCGTCCTTAAGGGGTTAAGAAATATAAGGCAGAGATAGAGGGGACCCGAAAGAAGCAAGGCTTGTCGAGTGCAAGCCCGCATCCTCAGACGGCATTAAGTGGGCTTAAAAGAGGGATCGATAAACCACACTTGAAATACTTGGTTATCCTACCGCTAATCAACGTTTGCCTACAGTATTGATGTCCATTTAGGAGCAACATTCTTAATATTAGCAGTTCCGTATTTAACAGGAACTAAAAATAAAAAATAATTTCCCCCAAAAATTGCAGAGCGCAGAATGAGGAAATAAAACCAATATTCGACCGTAGTGCACTCGGGGCTTGTTCTTCTCAAGTACCCGCTGGTATCGGTCATCGTATATTGTTTCTTATGCCAACAGACCTCCTTTCTTGTGTACATGTAGTTTAAAAAAAAAATAAGGGCTTAAGGTTTCGGTCGCAACAAGAACTTTTTCGAAGCCAATGAAAAGGGATTTTTGTTTGTCATGTCGCAGACCTACCCACCCTTTCTACAATGATGGGGACATAAAGATGTCCTTTTTGCATCATCATGCCTTGTAATTTTTTCTTTTTCAATTCTAGGGCCCATAGTATTGTGACTGGTAGACGTACACAAGTTGTGTGTGGAATCGTTTCCAAACAATAAGATATTTCTCATTCACCTCTGCAGCATGTTGAATTCGATTATCAGAAGATAGAAGAAACAGTTATATACTGTTAATAGAACTGCATGGATTATGTTTAAAAGGATCCAATTTTACACTTAAAAGGAGTACTGTTTCTTGGTAAAGTTTATAGTCAATGTGTTATTCTCTTCTCTTTCAACAAACATGTACCTTAATTATAATGCCATTACGAACCAATGTTGCAGTTTAAACAGTTCATAGTACTGGAGCAGATAGGGAAATATTATTTTGGGGGAATTGTGCCTTAGTTTGGTGATACAATCATGTCATTTGGCTCGCGGTCAGAGTATTTCATGATAAATATATTTGACTATAGGCCCATCACAGATTTGTGCTTTGAAGAAAAAATAGAGAGAGCGAGGTAGAATAACAAGGAATTGTCATTGCTTGTTATTCTACCTATATTTAACCAAAGGACCAATCTGCAATGGCCCTATAGCCAGATATCTTTCTCATGACGTACTCTGACTGTGTGCCAAATGACATGCTTGTATCATCAAAGGCACTATCCCATCACCTATTGAATACTTTACCGGTTTGCAACTAGAAACTTGCCAATCACCTATCTGCGATACTATAGCATATCGAGAATAGTCCTATTTCACAAGGGCTTTGCAAACTTGTGTCACGGATGTGCGTTATGACAACAGCCGGATTACACATCCTACGGCTTTTCCATGTTTAGCATTTCTAGTAGCGACGGCTTTTCCATGCTTAGCATTTCTCGTGGCAAAAGCGGTAATACTATTCAAAGGCACTTCACAACATACGGCAGATAGGTTGGGATTGTGCCTTTGATGATGCAAGCATGGCATGTGGCACGCAGAGTATGTCATGAGAAAGATATTTTGCAATAGGGCCATTGTAGATTTGTCCTTTGAAAAAAATTAAATGGAAGTAAAAAAAAATGGAAGTCATTTTGAAAATTTTGAAAATTGCTTGTTATTCTACCTATATGCTTTCAAAGGACAAATCTGCGATGGCCCTTAAGCCAAATATCGTTCTCATGACATACTCTGACTGTGTGCCAAATGTCATGCTTGCATCATCAAAGGCACAATTCCACAAAATATTTCCCCTATCTGCCCCGCTATAAGTTTTAATACTGTACTTTATGAACTATATACTTTCTTCATTATTCAAGGTTTTTTTTAGTGATAAGCTGATTAAAGGCATGTGGAGGAAAAATTCAAGAGTTGCAGTTGGAAAAAAGAGCGCTTTATTTTGTAGTTTTCCCAGTCCCACATTATCTTTTTCATACTCAAACCATTGCGCGTGCGCACTGGGTGAGGATTCGCACAAAACTTAGCCTTTCGCCAGGGCCATCGTGGCTTTACTTGCCCGCATTAGACAAAGCGGCAAAGCCGCGAAACCGCCTCTACCGTCCTCTACCGTCCCTCTACGCCCTCTACCGTCCCTGCAAGCAGACCACACTTCACGGTCGCTAGCTCATCGCAAACCTTCAATAATATTAATATCCTATCTCGTTTTGCTGCAGGGTTACGTAACTTTTCCGTGTACAAACACGCTATATCCGCGTTATTATCACACTACAAATAGTATCAATGACTATGGATTCTCCCCATACATTTTTCATCAGTTGACGATCTCGGGCTATTTGCCGTCTCCATGGCAACCGGCCAGATGCGAGTCCGTTGGTACCGTAATTAATTTCAGGGGCCTGATTATCAAAAGACAAAAAAAACAAAATACAAATCAAAGCGTGTACAGTTTTGGTTTCTTCTGCAGTTGTTTGGCACGCTTAATGATCTGGATTTTTTCAATTCGGTGTTACTAGTTCCGATGATCGCATGGGACATGCGCTATCGAGCTCCCACCAACACAATTATCTTACTGATTGAAGCCAACACATTTGTATTCCAACGAGCGTCATCACTAAGCTTAAGGCGAGACTCGTCCGTACTCCTTGATTTCCCGCGAGCTGTAAACCCAGCTCTGTATAGCTAGGCCAGTCCAGCACTACGTAACCAGTCTGTGCTTGCTTCACTTTCTTGTGCTACCCCTTCATGGAATAGTCGGAAAACGAGTTCCCATAAAAACGAGAAAAGGCTCGTGCGCCAAGGCAGATGTGCTTCGTCTTCCACAGAAACTCGACGCGACAGACGGATCGATTCTCTCAAGCAAGATATCGCATCACGGTCGTGAATAGAACTTCGGTTCAAGTATGATCATCACAAATTGTAACAGTATACCCAACTGGTCGTGGAATGATTTTGATTCAATGGAAGAGATGGAGTCAGTCTTCGAGACTCTTTAATTAAGGTAAGTAAAAACACTTCATGTGGAGTCAATGTTCTGATTTTATCAATAATTATGTACAGCATAAATATACTGATAAATTGACAAACATCTTAAGGAGTCATAGCGCTGTACTTGAGTAATGAATCTTGGAGAACTGATCTTTCCCCTACAATGGCATATATAGGTTTGATTTGTTGATCATCCTTACTGCAATAAGAAATACATTTTGTCACTTTAGGTTATAATAATGTTGTGGCAGCAGTTTTCGGAGATGATTATGAAGTTTTCTGAGGTGACGTTGTGAAGCTGTACCGTCAATTCTATCAACTTGTTTATATACATCATTTGCTTTTGCTGTAATTTTCAGAAATGGATGGAATTGGGGGGTTAGAAATATATAGCAAATATAGTTACTCTGACTTTTTTTGAGGTTTTGGGTTCGAAAATGCTATAAAAACCAAGAAAAACAATCATTTTCCTGTAGTCTGGTTCCCTGACTCCATTTAAGAAGAAACAGAGCAGTTTACATACATTGGGGAATTGTAAGGTCAGGGAACCAGTCTAGCTGGCTTGTACCCGTCCATAGATGTGTAATCGATTGCAAACAAGTGCGATGGTCAACTGGGGCCAGTATTTGGGGGGGGGGAAGCCAGTTTTTTCCAACGCTGATCGGCCGATCAGCGTTGGAAATTGATACAAAAATACCACTTTTCTTGAAAATGACAGTATACCAGGTGCCATGAATTTACAGGATGCTTTACACTGTCATTCACTAACAGTCCAGCAAGGTATTTCAAAATGATTTGGTAGTTTTATTTTTTGATGTTTGCAAATGTTGTATTTTCCCTTTAACAAAAAAAACATTTGAAGTGGTCTATTTTGACAAGAATTGCCGTTGAAATTTAGATTTTCATCTTCAAGAATTGTAGTTATTCAAACCGATTTTCAGTGTCACAAACTGACCCTAAAATCAATGCCTTGTCATGATTTTGGTTGTTATGCAGTCATCTTGGACAAATTTCCGGCAAGTGTGATAAACCAAACTAGCAGAGTACTGCAAACGGTTTAGTGACTTGACTAACCAGAACAACAAACGTTTAAGGTCCCCACGTCGAACTTTCTCTACATCGGCAGGAGTAGCATGTTCTATAGACCGTTATCATATTGCGGCCATCTTTGATTTTTTTTTCCATTTCAAATCAACGTAACCAAAGCGAGGCTGGAGAAAAAAAATAGTCTGGTTCTTTTTTGCACAAAAAAAGCCAATTATCATTCAGTACAGTTATTGGATACAACGAACATGACTGAAATGGTGGCAAGACCATTATCGTGTTGCGGCCATCTTGATTGTTTTCCCATTTAAATCAACGTAACCAAAGCGAGGCTGGAAGAAAAAATAGTCTGGTTTCTTTTTGCACACACACAAAAAAAACATTCAGTACTGTTATTTGATACAGGGAACATGACTGAAAAGGTGGCAGGATACTTAACTCTAGCCCTATATTTTCATTCGATCTTGTGTCATGGTGCGAAGTGGACATCACATTTCTGTCCCCGCTGTTAATCTGGAAACACGGTGGTCATTGTGCCTTAACAACAATCCTCAACAATCGCTGCTTTCCAATCAATCAATAAATATCGATCGTCGGCAATCAACAGGAATATACTTTTGGAAGGATTGTATGGGCATTAATGCATTCCAACATGTCTGGGCCGGGGCTCGTGCGTGTTTCTAATGGCCGAGGAGTTATGGAGGTGTACGTGGGTTGAATACGAATCGATGGATTTATACGCATGGCTTGAAAAAGTCTTGAAGTAACTACCAGCTTATCCTAGGATCGATATACTGTGTGTTAAAATAATAGTGTCTCCATTTTTATTGAGGGGGCGAGGGGGGGGGATGAATATTTTGCTTGTGTCTTTTCACTGCTAGAGAAATAAACGATCGTATACTGCACTGGAACAAATGAAATGTCCCTGACTTCCCATTCCCAGTAAAAAAAAAAAAAATTTACTGCTTCTTGTTTTAAAGGGAAAATACAACATTTGCAAACATCAAAAAATAAAACTACCAAATCATTTTGAAATACCTTGCTAGACTGTTAGTGAATGACAGTGTAAAGCATCCTGTAAAATCATGGCACCTGGTACATGTTTACTGTCATTTTCAAGAAAAGTGGTATTTTTGTATCAATTTCCAACGCTGGTCGGCCGACCAGCGTTGGAAAAAAACTGGCTTTTTTTTCAAATACTGGCCCCAATTGACCATCGCACTTGTTTGCAATCGATTACACACCTATGAACGGGTACAAGCCAGCTAGACTGGTTCCCTGACCTTACAATTCCCCAATGTATGTAAACTGCTCTGTTTCTTCTTACAGGAAAATGATTGTTTTTCTTGGTTTTTATAGCATTTTCGAACCCAAAACCTCAAAAAAGTCAGTTTAACTATATTTGTTATATATTTCCAACCCCCCAATTCCATCCATTTCTGAAAAGTACAGCAAAAGCAAATGATGTATATTCCCTTTAATAATGTCATAATTTCATTCTTACTTAACAGTTATATCATATGATTTTTTTTTTCTCAAGATTATGGCGAATATGTACGAGAAGGTCGTAGACGTCATATCAGCCGCCCCGACGGATCGAGACGACAAGGATATTGACATACTACTGCCGTGGTTTAAGCGCAAGGCGGAGCTTTTTACCTCCCTAGGAAATGGTAGAGTCATCATGTTTAGGAATTTGTTTTTAGGATTTTTTTTTTGTAAACTCGTCGGAAGCAATTGGATACCTTTTGTAGTGTAGTGTAGCATTGGATAACCGATTTGGCAAAACCTTTATTTGAAACTATATGTTGTTTTTCTACCTTTTTTTAGTTTAAGATGTGAAGAAACAGAATAAAAGTCGGAATGTGAATGAGATGTTTTTTTCTGTAATTACTTTCTTCATATGCTATAGACGTCATCAGGGATATTATCAAGAACTGTGAATTTCGTCGATACAAGACGGATGACGTCATCATAAGACAAGGCGACAAAGGACATTGGTAATACATTAATATAACGAGGAACACTTCCAATATTAAAGTGCACGTCACAAAGAAAATAACATTGACAGAAATATGTTTTGATGTTCAAAGGCTGATCCTTACGGGTTAAATGAACACAGGAGAGAATGGATTTCAAAATAATGATAGATTTAACCAGACTTTTAAATTTGTTACTTTTTATCTTGACAAGATAATGTTCAATAGCTTACAATTTGGTCTGTTGTGATTTTTTTCTCTGTATCACTTTTTTAATTTCTGAAATTTTAATTTGTTTTCTTCGTTTTCCACTTTCCCCCTTCATGATTACACTGCAGTTTCTTCGTGGTTCTGAACGGCTCAATATCGATTTATATTGCCGCGGACGAGGATGAACCCCCACCCGTATCCAATGACGACCCCGATGCACCACGTGACCAGAGAGCCGAGCTTGGGACATGTGTCAGAATTCTGGGTACGTTCAAAGGGAATTTTCTCCCGATTTGATTTTTTTTGTGGTTTTATTTTTGATCACTCGTACCCAAGTCTTTTCGATTTGTTTGCCATAATTATGTCTGATTGAATGAGACAACTTTTGTCTTTATGATCGTCATCATGTCGGTACAAACTTATTTCCCGCAAGGAACCCCCCCCCCCCCATATGTTTTGTACACATCGCCAAATTGAGGACCTTCTGGAATTGGGGACCCTATTGTCCTCTATTTTGTTCAACGTCCCCTATTGGATGCAGAAACAAATTCAAACACAGCTAGCGTTTTTTCCCGACGCTTTTAACGTTCGAGCGATTTGGATGGAGGGCGTCGCCAAAAACGTTACAAATTATAATGTTACCAATGGCGAACGATCTAATGTCGTACGGTAATGCTTGCCTGATTTTTCAGTGAGGACAAAACGTGGGCTTTGTGTGGCATTTTTCATATAATTTGCAATCATTTGAAATGATTTCCTTGCTGAACATTATACGCACCTTCTGTAAACTCTATCATTTCAACGCCTTTTTCTCAACTCTTTTCTTTAGGTCCAGGTACCAGCTTTGGGGAGTTGGCGTTGATAGAAACCGGAAGCGTTCGGAAAGCTTCGGTGGTGGCCGACGAGCCTTCGGACTTCATCGTCGTGAACCGGAAGCTGTACAGCAGATCGCTGAAGTTCGCGCAGCAACGAGATTTGGACGAGAAGACCGATTTCGTCAACCGTCATCCGCTATTCAAGTGCGAAAAAAATGTTGTTTTGTTCAACCATTTCATTATAAAGTCTGGAAAACTAATTATCGATTTCTAATTGAAATACAGAAAACCGTTGAGTTATTTTTTTCCTTGATAGTCAAGCGGAACTTAACAAGACAAGACAGACATGCTTAGTAAAGCCGAACGTTCCCGCAGAGCGCCCAAAATTCTATTTAATCGTCACTCGAAGTCTGTTCACGTATCAGGTCAACACAACGGGCCTGTTTCAGCTCATTCATTGGCTGAAACAGGGCAATCCTATACAATAGCACTAGTCAGAGAGATGGACAACAAAGACACTGGTCCTAGCTCAAATGACAAGTCTGTTATAAAACAGCAGCCCATTGAATTATTGCTACCGTTGTGATGATCATTAGACAATCCAACCAGATAAATAGACAATTATACTCGACAATACTCAGTGTTAGATTCTTTCTAAGTTGGTTGGATTCTAACCTCTAACGTACCGGATGAATGTGCAGCCGTTCTACTTTTCCTCCGCAGGTTTTGGAAAGCTCGTCATAAGTCGATCCTCGCCATGAGCCTGAATCGCAAGAGGGCGCTTTTCGGCAATCGACTTGTTCAGCAGGGATCGTCGATGTTGAATTTGCTTTTCGTTTTGAAAGGGCAAGCAAAGGTGTCCATCGCTCCGTGGAAGCAACCTAATCGAAAACTGATGAAAAGGCAAGTGGGAAAATCCCTAAGGGTAACAGTTGACCCACCTGATGACAATTCTTTTCTCGTGTAACGTAATCATGTCATTAATATGAAATTAACACCTTAATGATTGGCCATGTACAGGGAGTTACCAAGGGCAACCATTGAAACTAGCCAGGTACCAGCCAGCGAGTCCACGACTAGAGCAAAGAGCGCCCCCTACGACACGACATTTGATGTCTGTTCCATTGGTCCAGGGGATATAATTGGTAGGTCATCCTCAAAATGTATTACAAAAGGCCCCGCCCACTGCGCGCGTGGTTAACAACACACGCGCCTCTCCAATGTCATCACATAAATATGCATATTCCAGACGCGCGTTTCAACGAGTACGCGCCATCGCGCATGTCGGACATTATGGCTTTGATTGGTCAAAGTATCACTAGGCGGGGCTTAATGGATCGAGTCAATTATTATCCGTCAAAATGTGGAGTATACTGTATATGACTAAAATCCTGAAAATGTATACAATTAACGTGCAATCTTTATTTTGACCTTTTGGCAAAACTTTATTTTGCTTTCAAGGGGACATAGAAATAGCTTGCGACTTCACTGAGCATGTGCAGACTGTCACGTGTCTGGAAGCTGTTGAGGCCTTTGAGCTCGATATGGACAACTTTCACAAGGTCGTGACCAAGAAAAACCCGGCGACTGTGGACCGAATGCGACTGGAGGCCCAAATGAAACTCGCTGCACGCGCCATCAGAGCGCAAAATCAAGGCTTGGTAAGACCAACAAAGACGACCAGGGGTGACCGTATATACGGTCATGGCCAAATATTCTGCTAAATGCACTCCAAAAATCTGTCCGATTTATCAAAACTCTCAGATTTATCAAATTCCCCAGAATTACTCTAAATCAATATAAACACTTAAATTCACATGCCAGTGTTGTAGTATTGCCTTGATTAAGGTTCAAATTACATTACAATCTATAGTCACATGAAGATGTTATAAAACTGCGTACATTTTCAGGCAAAACGCGGTTTATACGACACGACGAAGTCCAGTTCCCAGTGAACCTCAGCACCTAGACCCATTTTTTTTTCAAATTTGCTATGCTTTTCTGTCAAAAAAAATCCCCCATTTTTGCGTAATTCCGCCAGAAATCTGCCTTAAAAATCCATTCTCGACTGTCAAATATCCTGTCAAACTCGCATTTTTTTTAACAAAACATCCGTCAAAGTTAGCCGGAAATCGGCTAAAACGGTCACCATGATTAATTTATGAAATTGTCAAACTCTTATAATAACATAAAATTGAGTTCATAAATTTCAAGGATTATTTTTGAACTTACAGGTATATTTCTTGGAATGTCTGCTGAAGAAAATCGCGGTCGCTGAGGACGAGCCGATGGTCCAGGAAGACATGCGCAATGACCTCTGGATGACCCAGCGCGGACCAATCATCGACAGTCTTGGTCCGGGATCACTGTACTATCGCGCCACACGATTGGAGGAAAAGTTACGGCGCAGGAGAGAACGGCGGGAACGGAAAGAAAATGGCAGTGAGACGAACATTTTGTCTCAAGATCAACAACAGGACACCAAAGTTTCGAACGCCAATCATCAACAAAATACTGCTTTCGATGCAGACAGAGAACGTAAAGAGAAACAAACTTTGGAGTCCCGTAAACACAAAAGCTTTTTACCGGCGACCGTCCAGGTTAACGGAATATTGAACAACAGTGCTGATTCCCAAGCAACATCCGTTCGTGCTGTTCGAAACCCAGGGGAGGACACAACTCACATCGAGCCCCTTTTACTACCACAGGCTAACTGGTCTGCAACGAGGCAAGAAACGCCCTTGGACGTGCAACAGCCGTCGCCAAAACTCGTCATGTTTGTTAATGTTAAGGACGAATCATGCCATGAAATGCGCGGTGGACGGTAAGTTAGCTGTTTTCACCGACACTGAAGAGCACGCATAGGTATTAAAGCATGGACGAAATTGTAACCGGAAAGATGCCGACAATGTTCAAATATACAACCGTCATAATTATAACAATTAAACCGGATTCGAATACGTGTATTCGGAATATAGGCCTACATGCACGCCTGGTTATCAAAGTTTCCCAATTTATACATCAAGTCGAATAGAAACCTCTATATTCCTCACTTTCAGATCACATGCACCAGCTGTAATACCGAGTTACCTACACCTCCACCATCGCTACCTGAGTAGGAGACAGTCGACCGGGTCCGTGCTGTTAGATCGATGGGCGCGGTCCGCCCCAAACACGGCACCAGCTGCTGGTGGCGTGGCGGTCGGGCAAGACGGGTTCGCGGACGTAAGTTTCAGCAACCGAATTCAACCGAGTCTCTTGCATAACTTTCTCCCACACTTATTTGCGGCTAGTCTTGATATTCAAGATGCGATCTGTCCTGTGGTGGGGCGCCCTCAGACCAAAAAATAATGAGGGGGGGGTGGTCCTATAGCAAATATCTTTCTCATGACATACTCTGACTGTGTGCTAAATTCCATGCTTGTATCATCAAAGGCACAATCATATCTGCCCTACAGTTCCGCATCTCCAGAGTCGCTCCAAATGTGATCAGTTAAATTGAAGTTTTTAGAGGAGACTCAAAAATGCAAAATGTGCTTGAGTTTGCACTGGGCATTGTTCCTTTCATGAAAATCAAGCTTGCCAACTTCCCTTTACCGTTCTTAATTGTTTGTTTCATTGTCAGCTACAAGCGCTACGGAGACAATACAGCGCGGATGAATACAAGAGTCTCAAGGACAAATTACGACTCCAGGAAAAGCGGCACGTCCGCTACCTCAGTTCACTCTGGTGACCAAGAGAAAAAAGTAGGCTCAAGTCAGCAAAGAGACCGCGGCCACACAAGATTTCAAAGAAGAGATTGGAAGTTGTCAGATTTACGAGGAACTTGAACGGACACATGAAGATCTCGAAACGGAGTATGCACATCCCTGGCCGGCCCTATGTGATTGTTTTCCCGTTTTGCTGAAAGAACACTTAACTTTTTTGGTGATCCGTGGACATAGTGATAGTCGTGTTTAAAATTCGGTAACCTGAAAATTACATGAGTGATTTGAATTATTCTTGTACTAAAAGAAAGCTTATGAATTGGGCTTTCATATCCTGGATTTTGAAAGTGCTGCATGCTGAACTTCAGTAAAACAATGGTCCCAACATTTAGTTTTCGGTTTTTTCCCCACTCATCTTGTATAGACTGCTGGGGGGGGATGTAAATAAAATTCGAAAATAAATACGTCCGTTCCCAACTATTTGTAATTTAGAAATGCCAACATGTGTTTAAATTAGTTTAGCAGCAACTCAGTTAACGTACACGCCCCACGCGTTAACCACACCCAAAGTGAGGCCAGAAAAAAATGACACAAAAACAATACGGAACATCTAAACTGCATTAAGAAACACCATTACAGACCTACAGTTTATTTATTTAGTACATTTCTTTACCCAGCGTGTGCCCAAATTGGGGCCCTGCTTATGCGTTACAATGCATGAGTTATGACATGTACTGGACCATGGGATAAAACTGCACAAGAACAGCCAGACCGCATCAAACTAATATCAATGACTCAAAGTTAGGAAATGACACAAATAGTACTAAACGGAGTTCCATTTTTGTTTCGTATAATTTATTTGTACATTTTATTTAAATAAGTATGATTACATTTATTATTAAACACATCACAGCTATATATAACTTAGCTTGAACGAAATAAAACCTTATATATGTACCGAGGAGTAAACTAAAGACTACTTGAAATTATGTCAACTTTACCTTCTAACAGAAACTATCGATTATTGTGAAAAAGTTATTAATACTTTTCAAACAGTAACATATGTTTAAGCACTTATTATTTACCACACGAACGGGTCTGTTTTGATACTGTTCGGAGGGCATTTTAACACTTTAATTATGGAAACAGATCAGTCCAATTTCATAATGACTCTGCTAACCACAGAATTCCGTGCTTATCACCATTTCACAGTGCTAGCAGAAACATTTGCGCTAACCCTGTAAGCACAGAATCTTTACGGGATGTAGGTATGCGATTCAGCCAACATTTTTCGCTAACCCATGAAATATGCTAACCGTAAGCGAACATTTTCTGCAACAGTAAGCAGGGATGTTTCCCTTACGAGAAGCGGAGCCATGGACTCGGGCCCTGGGCTACTCGTGGAGCCGAATATAATTGCTGAAGAATAATTTTGGTTGCAAGCAAAAGTGAGCACAGCACCAGCCACAGGCAAGATACACGTCATACATGCACGTTTTTCGCAAGGAACCCATTTGTGCTAAGCAAACAGATGGTGTCAACTGCAATTGACTTATAACCTTCGTAGCTCAATGAAATTTGCTTGCTAGTTTCCATGTAACTGCTTCTGTTAACTGACACTGTGTTAGGCTTTTGATTTTAGTCAGTCCGCTACATGTATTTGTGATATAGGAAATGACAGGGCGACTATATTTAGTCACATCCTTCCTGTACAATAACATCACACGTATAAACTACACACTGTATCTCTACATGTCAACCGCTAGACTCATCCACAAGCCGTATACATGTACAGTTGAATCTCGTTAGTACAAACTCTAAAATTCTGGTTATAACAAACATAAAGCCTTAGTCCCGACTGTGCATTTATGTGCACGATGAATGGGACTGATGATCCTCTTAATACAAAATTCTGATATAACAAACAATTTGGCTAGGTCCGAACGAGTTTTTATTAACGAGACTCGACTGTACATGCTGCATATACCCCCCCCCCCCCCCCCGGGCTTTGAGATGGTCAAAATAGCCCGGCCCTTTTAGGATTAAGTGGGATTAATAAACGATTTTATGTAGATTTTAGAGCATGTGCAATGTTAAATCAATTACTGACGGAACACCATTTTTTTTACAGCGTATATCTGACTAAATTCAATGTCACTTGATCACATCACAAACAAAGGTTCCATCGATATTTCTATTTTAAAAGTTTTAAACAATGACTTTCGTTAATACAAATTCTGTTAATACAAATTCTGGTTATAACATAAAAAGTCTGGGTCCCAATTCTGCATGTGCACCACAAATGGGATGGGATGAGCACTTCTCTTAATACAAAATTCGGATATAACAAACATTTTGACAAGGTCCAGCCGAGTTTGTTTTAACGAGAATCGACTGTACAACATTTCACTAAAACACCCCAACAACTAAACCTATGAAAACTGTTGTTTTAAGAAAAAAGCAACGAACAATTGTAGATAAAAATTATGTTGGATTTGTATGAAGTTCAGGAACCATCTCCACATACAAAAAAAAACATGACCTAAACAGGTACAGTCGACTCTCGTTATAACAAGGTCGATGGGACTAGCCCAATTACCTCTTTATAACAGGAATGTTGTTATAAAAGGACAGCGAAACAAAGAAACACAAAGAGAACCTGAGATTTGGGACCTCAGAATTTGCTCTTTATAAGCAGAACCTCTTTATAAAAGTGCTCTTTATAATGAGTCGCTTGTGCATGTCCATGTATACATTTTAATTAGTGAGTATTGAGACTTGTTAGATATTAAAGGAAAATCCTGCTTAAAGTTCAGGAGTATGGAAGGAATAAAATTGAGTGTATGTCGATTTTGTTACCAATTGTTTTCTTCGAAACCTTACTTTCATTGACTTTTTGAATTTTTAAATTAAAATTTTATTTTGATAAAAAAGTCATTCAATGATATTACATTTTCTCTGAGCATCATACTTGTTTTACTCTTACCCTAAAAAAAAAAAAAAAAAAATCACATTAATTTATATCAGTACTTAAACAGAAAATCATACATTTTGAGACAAGGTCCTATGTACAAATATTGCAGACGCATCTGCAGGTATCAATAAATACCCAGTTATCAGAGGGTACATAATTTGGAAGAAAGATATACTCAAATTGCTACTGAACAAGTCAATCAAACATTTCAAATCTGGAATGTTTTTCTTTTCCCAACTGTTGAATATCATCGAATTAACCAATAGACAATTTGCAAATGCCCACCAGCGAAGGCAGGATTTACATAATGAGAGGTACAGTCGACTATCATTAATACAAACTCTGGTGATACAAAATTCTGGTTATAACAAACACAGACCCTTGGTCCCGACTGTAAATGTATGTACATGTACACAGTGAATGGGACTGACACTCCTCTTACTACAAAATTCTGATATAACAAACATTTTGGCTAGGTCAAGCTGAGTTTGTATTAACGAGAGTCAACTGTACCTGTACAGGCTGTTTCTCAGTCCCACTAGGTATTCTGGACACTGAAAACAGAGTGTGGAAATCAGTCAAAAAATGAGAATTTTGATATGTTTCACATTTTCACTACAAGACAGTACTTGTGCTCTAATTTTACAACTTTTTGTTGCAAATCTTTCTGCGTATCAGATAACTCAAATGTATGTCGGTCCGAGACCATACTAACAAATAGTCACATGTTCATGACATGCGCCTAACTCTGTCAGGTTCCCAGAAGCCAACATTGCATTTCTATTAAACATGAACTTGATTTTGTACCGTCATATCAAGTTAAGTTGCCCGTCTAAGTACTGTCTTGCTGTGGCCTGATAGAGTTGTACAGAAAAACCCACAATAGGTAGAAGTGTATCTAGGCAACAAAAATGGTCGTTTTAGGGGAGGGTAAAGGATAAGCATGTTGAAAAAAATGTTAAAAAAAATAACAAACTTTGATGTTCAATTTCATTTAATCAACACAACTATTAAGCTCCTTTACCCTCCCCTAATCTGGCACTACATGCCCCGCCCCTTTTGCTACATTGCATAAACCCTTGCCATCACATAGAAGGGACAAATTCAAATTATTTTGATTTTTAAAGTCAGTGTAGCAATAAAGGAAGCGGGGCCGACGACAACATGGAAAGCCGTGAAAAGACCGTCAACTTTTCAGTGGACGTTATATTGCTCTTTGTTGTTGACTCGCATTTGCCAGACGGAGAAGACCAGCCAGAGAACGTAAACGCCGGCCGCGATGAAGCAGTTGTTGGACACCTCCGTGTAGGCATCTTCCAACTCCGTTCTTGTCAGGGTCTTGTTCGTGTCGAGCGGGAGATCTTCCAAAAGAGCGACCGAGTTGACTCGGAAGAAGACACCCATCAGTACCTTAATGGAAAGTATGACAAAATACAGGGGTTGGAAAAATTCTCAATAGTCTGCGATCGTGCTAAATAGACATGATAGAAGCACAATATAACCACTTCATGAAAAAGGGAATTTGTAGAATTTATTCCTCACTTGTCATATCCCATGGAAACATGTTGTATTTTGATCGCGTTATGGTGGCAATTCAGTTTGCCTATTTACGCAGTCTTCACGGCAATCATGTAGTTTATACGGGTCCCTATGGAGGACCAATGTGTGACGTCATCTAGAACCTGAAAGTGTAGTGCAAACGAATGGAGTACGCGTGCGTGCATGACGTGTTGGTTCACGGGCTAAATCATGCGCTAATGTCTTTCACACACATTTTGTGCATGTGACGTATTCACTTTGGTACTCCATTCAATTTTATCAAGTTATCTTAGAATTACATACATGACATAGGCCTAGAGTCAAGGAACAAAACAAAAACGACCTTTTTAAAAAGCAGACATGGCATTGGCAGACTTCTCTCAATGCTCAATTCATGCAATTATAATGCCATCTTTATTGTAATTCTCACAACAGTTTCTTGTGGGTAGTTTCTTGTGAAGAAATACGGCATATAAAAACTGACAAATGACTGATCTGGCATTTAGTGGCAATAAGAAAATTTGATATTTACCAACATAATCACGCCCCATGTACTGATCACGGAACAGCACGTTGAACACTTCGGTCCGCAAATCTTCATACCCATTTTGCCTTTTATTAATCGTCGACGTTTCCTTCAATAAATCCGCCTCTGCTGCCACTAAATCAAGCACTTGTGCTCACTGGCTAGCTGACTCCAGAACTGAGACACTTCGAGCTTACTTGCCTCTGAAAAAGAATGAAAAATCACCAAATGCTGTTACAATTTTTCAGGGTCGAAAATCGTCAGAGCAAATTATGTCATGTGATCATCACCTGCCTAAACTCCACCCAGTAGCAGCAGACTAATCCGTAGTCTTATCGCGTGCCGTTTTTTTTTTAGTTGGCAAAAAGTGGCACAAATTTCAATGCCGGTGTCATATAAAGATCCGACTCCTATGAAAATCCGACTCCTTTTCCGTATTATTGGTTAATCTTTCGCACGTGACAGGTCACTCCCCTATAAATAGGCCTATTTATAGGCTATTATCATGTTTACGCGTGCGCAATATTACCAACGAGTCCATATTTCATGGAGTCGGATATTCACGCTACACCGAGCAATTCATAAATCAAACAAAAACGCTCCTAAAAAGAAATTCATCTTTCATAATAGATATATCAAGATAATATCAACTCAGCAGAACTTTAATGTTGGTTGCTGATGCTGTTTGGTGTCGCTGTTTGTGATACAGCTTCAGTAACTAACATATTAGTTATAGTTTTCCCAATTGTAGTTTATTTTTATGAAATTATATATGAGTATAACCTGTGCCTGTCAGTAGTTGAATTGATTTAAATGATCTTTAATGATTTAGTACTTTAGTATCACTTAATCCGTTCACTTAAACTTATTAACTTGACTAATTTGTACCATCAAAATGAAGTGTTGTGGCCTGGAATATTTCATAAGGCCAAATAGTTTTTTTTTCATATTTCTGTTTTGTTTTGTTTTTAAATTACTATCACTATAAAGGAGAAATAATAAAGAAACATTTCGGGATGAAAGTCATCGCTGGGAATTTGTAGCAGAGTAACATAAAACGGATCGTATAAAGTCTATAGCTGCAAAACCTCCTGCTGCTTTATGGATTTAAAGACTAGAATACGCACTCAGTCCAAATCAATAAAATATGACGTCATCTTGGCAGCCGACTCATTATTTTCATACTTTTCGTTGATACATTTTCTTTACAAAAATACAAAAGGCAAATTTCATCTTTTTACATAAACCAAAGATAATATTATTTCAGACGTCAATTTTTTTATTTTCAGAAATGTACATTTTTTTAAAGTTAAATTCTTAGTGTGCGGTGGTACGGTCTTGCACCTGTCATTCTTTAACGAATTCGATGACAAAATAGTTCAAGAGAACCAGACTCTCCACCGCCTCCTTTTTATGAAGTATTGACACAAACAAGTGAAAATGGTGGATCGTTTGGGTGAGTAATTTCGACTTCCTTTTGGTGGAAAGTGTAATTACGATGAATATTTTACAGTTGCGGGTCTTCTGGTTGAGGGATTGAAGAACCTTGGCGTGCAACTGTTATTCTCATCGGTGCTATGCAAGGGGGAAATGGCTAGAAACTGTTTCGTTTCCTCATTCCTGATTTGAAATAAAAAGTGATGTTCGATGATGTTGACAGGATAATCACCCTAGGCCTATTCGCACATCATTGTCATCCGGTCATGCATGACCTGATGACTCGACTAAACACCATAACAATAACATGTATCTTCACCATAGCTCTCTTCAGTCCGTTTGTAGATTTGATACTTAAGTTTTAGTCAGATAATTTTTTACAATTAATTAACAAACATGACAAACAAGTTTAAAAAGGGCGATCGTGTCATGTAGGGCCCCCTGTTCCATTTAGTTTCGATTAAATTAGAGTACGCCCTAGGTAGGTAGGTGTTTTTTATTACCCTAAAAATAAAAAAATGACCTTTTCAACACAACATAGACATGATAAAGCAGACTTCTCTCAATATTATAAGGCAGTGTATATTTTGCCGGAGACGGCAAACCTTTTACTTAGTAAACGTTAGTTTGCCGGATATGCACTGAACATGCGCAGTTACTGGTTTTTTTTTACTTTAACATTTTCCGGTGACAAGTTTTAGTCTGGCTCCGTGCCAAAATTATCGTTGTTACCTCGTATTCACAAGATGGGATTCAGACCATTTTATAATTTCGGACTTTATTTCCCTTTTAAAAAAAATCCTCCAGAGCCACAAATCTGAAAAAGAAAAAGTAATACTCTGCAAAAAATGTTTGAGACATGTTAAAATAATAAAAGAAGAATATTCTTATTTATTTGGGGATGAGAAAAAAAACCTTAAAAATGTGGTGCGGTCAAATTCGAACGCGAGTCATCCCGCTTACTAAAGCCTTTGCTTAACCATTACACCAAACGTGCTACACAACTTTTGGTGGGAATTTAATACATCTTATAATTCAGCCCTGTTTTAAAGAGTACAGCTTCTGTTGATATGGATTGCCGCCGGCAAACCTTTAGTAATCGTTAGTTTGCCGTCATTACCTCCGGCAAAATATCCACTATCATATTATAATGACACCTTTTTTGTAATTTTTAACAGTTTCTTACAATCTTACTTTTCTTAGGGTAAAAATTACAATTTTCCTATGCGGTTTATGGTTGGTGCATTCACGGTACATCGCGCGGTGAAACCATCTCTATTTTCGTGTTGCGTTTTGTCGTTGTCATTGTCAGTTTGCCCCCAAATTTCCCTCAAGAATTCAAAACCCTGCCCTTTATCTATGACATACGTACCTGTACCAACATGCTGTAAGCATGTTCTTCTTAATGTCCCAAACTAGTTTGGTAAAGTCAAATAATTTAAAGTGGAATTTGTTCCCTGAAATACAGGCATGCAATTGGGAAGTCACAAAAACAGAGGAAATTCAAATCTTTCCGAGACTTTGTACAGTGTTTGTCTATTTTCAATGGCACACATAGGAATACAAAAAAAAGAAGGAGATCAGCAGATCTGAGGAAAAGTTGCATGCCTGTACATGTAGAGCCGGGCCCGTAGATAAACGATTGCCTTAAAAAGGGCAGTGAGACAAATGAAAGAAAATGTGAATTTATCTATCATGTCATGCATGTCTGTCTATTTTGTTCCGTCTATCTATATTCCATTTTTTCTGGCAAATCTGGTACGAAACCTTTGTTTCCTCACACTTAAACTTGTGTAAAGTAGATGGCAAACCTTCAAGATACGACAATGAACATGATGAAATATATGCAGTTCAGAATAAAACAGCATTCTTTCAAACTGCTCTCAGGCCTATCTCTCAAAAGAAATCAAGGTCGGAGAAGGACGTTTCCTGGCATGATACGTTATCGTTCACTACCTGACTACTGGCATTAATGAGGTGTCTTTTTTTTTTCCTCTTTCCTTTCAGTTAATAGCGAGGCGAACGAGAAGCGAATAAGCCATGTACAGGCTTGCTTTGGTAGCTCAGGCCAGGTAAGGCCACAAAAAAAGTAATTAATGATAAAATTATGTTCACCTTAATTCTTAACTTAATTATATATGTGATCGGGTTAACCTGATTAAAGTTCAGAAATAAGTAAATAAATGAATAACTTCACATGATCTCAAGAAGATTTTATCCCAGAACGAAAGCAGCACCTTATACATTGGGCCTATTGGCGGATAAACCCTGACCATGCTAACCTTCCAAAATCCTCTTTGTAGAAGTGAGGATTTTACAGGATTGAGGCTACATGGCAAAAATGTGCTGATTTTGGAAAATGCACTGTATCAAGGTCTTGGGCCAGACCTTGTGTTGTTTATGCTCAGCCATGCATATATTTAGGCTTAAATTGTACTTGAAATCCTCCGCACTGCTCCAGGATGTCACTGGCTCTGCCTCAACATAATTTGACAGTGATTGCTGGAGGATTTTGCAGGATTGAGGCAGTGGTCACCCCTCCAAGGACCACATTCAAGAAATAACAGATGATTTTTGGAGGATTGAGGCTGTATGCTATTTTTACATGGAGGCAATATTTTGCAGACCTGGTTGAGGATGCTTCCAGCAAAAAATGCCTAGGGAGTCGGGGTTTAAGACCAACATCTGTAAGACTCATTTCTAACATGTACCTTTGCTTGAATATTAGATGTCATGTTAGAAATTGTTTCTTGTTTGTCTCCTGCCATCAGACGCTTATCGCTCCAGGGCGTGTTCTGGTCGGGGAGGGAGTTCTCACCAAGCTATGTAGGAAGAGGCCCAAGCCGCGGCAGTTTTTCCTCTTCAACGATCTCCTGGTCTACGGCAGCGTTGTAATGAATAAGAAGAAAGTAAGTTTTTGTGGTAATTTTGTTTTTCTGAGTTAACCAAATGAAATTACACTCGCAGTCAAACATGGATAGTTTCAGCCCAAATACCACATTTCCCCTAAAACAAAAACAATTCGAAATGAACTCAGAAGCTGCGAGTCAACTAATTTGTGTCCATGCGTGACGTGATTGTGCCCTGTAGTTTCTGGAAGGGGTAGTGTCCTCAGTACAAACATCAGGTTCGTGACCCTCGACCTTGACCCCTTTTTTCGTGGGACTTTCGGGGAGTTGGGTGATTACAGTGCACAGGTGTGGGTGTCTCAGGCACGAGTTGGGTGATTGATAGCGCCCAGGTGAGACATTTCTAACGTCTGTGACAAACCAACCAACCAACGGAGAGACATGTCTATTTCTTAAGCTGCTTTTCACAGCTAAAAATGGGCAAAAATTATATTGCCTAACTCCTCTTCCTGCAATGGACTCCGTGCGCAGACTGAAGAGGGCGCTCTTTGTTGAAGACGATTAATTCTGCTTTGTTGTTATTTATTTTTGCATCACAGTATAGCACCCAGCACATCCTACCCCTCGAAGACGTCAGGCTAAAATCAGTTGAAGATGACGGCAGTAAGTAGTTCCATCTTCATGATGTTGATCTAAAATCTCAATTTGAAGAAAAACAAACAAGCAAAAGGAAATTGGTATTAAACTCCGTTTTCTTGTTCTCCTTAGATCTCAGAAACGGTTGGCAAATCATCAGTGCTACCAAATCCTTCACGGTGTACGCTGCCACGGCGACAGAGAAATCAGAGTGGATGGCTCACATCAACAAGTGTATTTCCGACCTACTTGCCAAGAGTGAGAATGTGTTTTCCAGTCTTCAAGCTTAACCCTAACTCCCTAGCATAATTCACTAGGAACCATACCCATTCTGGCAAATTCCAACACCCACATGTGAAATCGTACACACACACTGTTGGACTTAGTTTCTGGAGGTATGCCAAACCCAGTGTAAAAGACCATCAGTTTAGGGGTACTGTACCTATCCCAACAGATTGCACCAAAACCTGCTGTTGGGCTTTGATGGGTTGTCTTCGGTTAGGGTTAATATTGTTTTCTTCAAAATGACAGCATTCCAGAAGGAATAAGTTCACAAGGAGTTTAGTGTCACTACTTTCTTCAAACCACGTCAGCTTTTCAATGATAATTTGGTCGGTTTCTGTTTGGAAAACTTCAACATGGTCCATTCTACCCTTAAAGAGCGACTTGCTTAAATTGAAGAGTTCTTTAGAACAAGTGGGTTTTGCAGTCAATGACTGTTCGTGGAATTACATATTTTAGGTGATGTTGATTTTATTTACATAAAAAATGAGCTAATTTAGTAACAGTATGAATTGACCAGCAACACTGTTCTGCTCTCCTTCTTTTGTCAAATTTCAGGTGGAAAGAAACCTGCAACCGAGTTGAGCCCAGTCTGGGTTCCAGACTCCGAGGCACCGCTCTGCATGCTTTGTAAAAAATCCAAATTCACCGCGCTCAATCGGCGGGTAAGACGCACAAATCTTTCCATTTTCTGAAGTGAGGTAATGTGTATGTAGGGAAGGGTCGAGACTTGAAACTAATTCTCACATGTCCAAAATAATTGATGATACAGGCATTTGATTTGTCAGACTTTTGTCTGAAATCAGACTTTTTAATCTGAGAGAATGCCAATATTTGTATACAAATGATGCATCCTTGAGCGTTAAACTGAGGTCTTGCCATGATGACTGATAGCCAGGCAAATGATTCCAATCCCAACTGCAGCCCTTTTCACAACATGCAAGAGGATACACAGCTTTTATAACGCACTGAAATTAATCAAGGCATGGAACTTGGTCACAGTGTCCCAAAAATTTGTTGTGATCAATTGACAATTGTGTAGCGATGCGTGACTGAAATTACATGAAACTTGTAGGGGTTTAGGCCAAGGATAAGAAATATCTGCACAATCAAAACAATTCAAAATGGACTTCATGGTTTTGTAGTCATTTCATAAATAGTCAGACGGATTTTTCTTGGGGGGGAGAGATATACCTTTCAGACCTTTCATCCAATTTTCAGACTTTGTTTTACAAACTGACAATCGCATCCCTGGTTCAATTTCAGACTTTTTTTTTATTTAAGGGACAATCTCATTCCTGATTATATTACGCAGTGTTCTGTTTTGGAAGAGTGAGTACTTCAAAGAAGTGGTGTTAGCACAGATGTATTTTTTTGCTTGGGATTCATACTTTTCTTTAGCTCAGTCACAATTCAAATCCCAAGTTTGGTCGCAGTTAAACAGAGAACGGGAGCAAAGGAATGCCTGTGTTACAGCTCATTTCGTGAGCTTGTCATCTGACTCATGCCTAGGCGATGGGTAAATGACTTGGGTTGACTTTTGACAACTTGATAACAATTCTGGTTCCTACGCTGTAGCAGAACCACCCAAGCTCTAAAGTTTTTTTTTAATTTGATTCCAGCATCACTGTAGGAAGTGCGGCAAGGTCGTCTGCGGACCCTGCTCAGCCAAGAAGTTTCTCCTGCCCCAGCAATCGGTCAAGCCCCAAAGGGTCTGCAACGACTGCTACGAACAGCTGTCCTCGGGACAGATGAGTGCCCAGGGCAAGAACCCAGCTGAAGGTAAGAACCAGCCGCGGCCATCCACCTTACCCCTCCCCGACCCAACCCACTCCCAGGGCAAGAACCCTGCTGAAGGTAAGAATCACCCCAGCCATGCACCCTATTCCTCCCCGACCCAACCCACCCCCAGGGCAAGAACCCTGCTGAAGGTAAGAATCGCCCCAGCCATGCACCCTACCCCTTCCCGACCCAACCCACTCCCAGGGCAAGAACCCACCTGAAGGTAAGAATCACCCCAGCCATGCACCCTACCCCTCCACCCTACCCCTCCCCGACCCCACCCACCCCAGGGCAAGAACCCAGCTGAAGGTAAGAATCGCCCCAGCCATGCACCCTATCCCTCCCCCCTACCCCTCCCCGACCCCACCCACCCCAGGGCAAGAACCCAGCTGAAGGTAAGAATCGCCCCAGCCATGCACCCTATCCCTCCCCCCTACCCCTCCCCGACCCCACCCACCCCAGGGCAAGAACCCAGCTGAAGGTAAGAATCGCCCAGCCATGCACCCTACCCCTCCCCGACCCCACCCACCCCCAGTGCAAGAACCCATCTGAGGGTAAGAATCGCCCCAACCATCCATCCTACCCCTCCCCTACCCTGACCCCACCCACCCACCTCCAGGACAAGAACCCATCTGAAGTTAAGAACCACCCTAACCATCTACCCTACCCCTCTCCCAACCCCACCCAAGGGCAAGAACCCAGCTGAATGTAAGACTCACCCCCAGCTATCCACCAATCCCTCCCTGACCCCACCCCACACACCCAGGGCAATACTCAAGCTGAAAGTAAGCACCACGCTAACCATCCAAGGTACTCCTACCCCAGGGTACCCAACCCTACCCCTGTGCTAAGGCTATCCTAGCTCTACCCCACCCACACTCCAGGGCAAAAACTCAACTAAATTTTAAGAGATGAATGCCCAATATAACATTGGTGACTCAGGGTTGAACCATAGATACCCTTTAAAACCCCGTTATCCTTCACAAAACATGGAGGTATAACCTTGAGTTACTGCCTGTTTTAATTTGCATGCTCTCCTTAGCACCACCCCAACAACCCATCCTTCCCATTTCCTCATTACACCCCTACCCCATTCCCACCCAGTAAGCACCCAGTAGGCCCAACTGGTTAAGCACCACCTTACCCCAACATTGCCTCATCCCACCCTTTCCCACTACAAGCCCCACTCCAGCTTACTACCAGATCTCCTACATCACCCCACCCCGACCCTACCCCAAAAATTGACGTACGTTAACATTTTTCAATCCAATCCCCGGTATTAATAAGTTGGCTTTAAAACACCAATGTGGAATTGTTAATAACTTTATTTTCTCACAGGTAAACGTCAAGGAAACAGCTTAAATTACGGCCCTAACGATGATTCCTCGGGCGACGAGTCTACCGACGATGATGAAGATGATGCACCTGTTGACATGGCACCTGTGGAAGACGAGGTAAGTGGCTGGACACAACATGGATGCCGTTTACAATTATGCGCACAGATGCTGGTGTCACAGAGCTGCCTAGACACAATCTTCCAATGGGGGCGCTGTTCAAAACATATATCATGGCTACAGTAGACAATAACTACCGCTATTCCCTTTCTAAGGGACATTATGATAAACAGCCACTTGCAAAAAAAATATGCACAAAATTGCAGAAAAAAAGGGACTTAATGTTCATCCAGCTAATCGTGGTAACTCATATGGCTGTGCTTTTCTGGGGGGGGGGGGGGGGGGGGTTGGCGTGCACCAAGCCACACCCCCTCCCCCCTTCCCCGTAGCTACGCCCGCTGGCGTGGGCTCTTTTCTGGTCACAATTGTTGGTGACAATCTCGCAGTATTTTAGACCAGACAGTAAGAATAACAGCCACTGTTTTTCGTATCTTTGATTCAACGTACTGTTTTTGTTTTCTCCACAAACACAGCATCCAACGTTCTACGAGGGAAACTACAAGTAGTCGATTCGTTAACGTTATATTCACAGGGGCGCCCTCTGTTGTCCAACATCCTCAAGGTTTTGGTGGCCACAAGCGTCATGCCTGCTGTCGATTCCATGTACAATTATTAAATATTTTACTTGGAGAATATGCATGAGTTAGGTTTGGAACGAAATACTTTTACAAAATAACTCCGTTTTTAAAGGGGGGGGGGGGTTTATTTGTTTTCTTTTTTTGCGGGCGTTGGTTTTTTTGTTGAATTTTTTTTGGGTGGGGGTTGCATAGCACAGCATGGCAAATTTTGTGCAAACAATTGCAAAAATCACCATAGTTAGACACATGCTTGGGTAGAACCCTTCAAATGTTCAGAATATCACTTAAACTGGGAATATTTTTAAACACGGTCAGGGCGATATCTATATATATATATTTACATACTGTATACTCTATGTTCCCATAGTTCATATGTCATGACATTTTTTATAATCCAGGCATGCAACTGGAAATTTAGAAGGAAAAAAAAACGAGGAAATTCCAAACCACACAAGACTTTGTACATTGTTTTTCAATTTGTAATGGCATTCATAAGAAGTTAAAAAACGGAGAAATCAGCAGATTCGAGGAAAAGTTGCATGCCTGATAATCCAATCAGAAAAGAATAGGCTTTTTTTTGGTTAAAATTTTTTCTTATTGTTAGGCCAAAAAAAAAAAAGTCTCCGGTTTCTGGTATGGAGCTTGCCCCAAAAGTGGTGCGGCGACGCAGCTTTTTTTCTGATGACTGCAAAGGGTGCCCGACTAAACTTAGTACAAATAGGCCTATATGGGATTGGGAGTCCAGAGAAGCTTATTCTTGACCATAACCCCACCTAAAAACACGTTAAAATTGTGCAGCAGCAGAATTCCAGTCAAACCAGTGAGTTTGGCGGTTTTGAGACATCATCTTTCATTGGAAAATAAACTTTTTCATTTTGCCGACGCGCATGGCTACGGCAACGCGCGCGCATACCAGAAACCGGAGACTTTTTTTTTTTGGCCTTAGTCACCTTCAGTCATACCCTCAATTGTCTACACTGTACATTCAAACAGTGTAGTGCCTCGCTCCTGTAAGCACCATGGAAGGGAGTTTGGGCTGTTATGTCTGTGGCACCAGTCTATTCTGCGAACACAGGTGCAGCAGGCTCTGAACTAAATGCCCCTTTAATTTTTAATTAATTTGCAGGTTTTTTTTATTTTGAGGTTTAATTTAAAGTACGTGAACGTGCACATTTAGCATGGGTTTTTGATTGTGAGAAGGTATAATTTAAAGTACATGAACGTGCACATTTAGCATAATTTTAAGTTAACTTGTTTCAATTAGGAGTTTGTTTCACCAATCTTTTTTTTTTTTAACAAAAATGCCCAACTTTCACATTTTTATTATTTTTGAGTTATATCTCATTGCTGTTTGCACAGTTTTTGTCCTAATAAGTGCAGCATTATAAATTGTTATAAAACGCCTGAAAAAATCCCCTGCATCTGATTGGCGGGTCGTTGATCACGTGTCATTAAATTATTCGTCCCAAGCAAGGCAGAAAGAGAAGTCCATTCCACCATTGAGCGAGGATCCAAGGAACCTCGCTCTCTGATTCCACGGTGAATAGAACTTCGATTGCACGGTCATACTTATGGCTGAGATGGCTCTGGTTGTACCAGTTCACAAGTTACAAATCAGATGACGGGGATTTATTCAGGCGTTGAATAAAACAAAAAATGAGTGTTTCACATTCCTACAATGGAAAGAATAATTTCATTCAATGACATATGGAATGTTCCATTCCACTCGGTTTCGCCTCGTGAAATGGAACATTCCATCTGTTACCTCATGAAATTATTCTTTCCATTGCACTCATAAACATTCATTATTTGTGTACCAACATATCCAATGTGTTTTGCTTACATGTAACTCCATTTGCTCACCTACACATTAGACTTAATTCATAGGGTGCACTGCGAAGTGACAAACATTCCGTGGACTTTCTGCGCATGGTACGTCATTTCGTGGTGCGACCGACGTTATTGAAACTTGTCAAATTTGAAATTTGTTGAAGAATTTGATTTTGGAATGCTAGCCACATTATGATTGTGTGTAATATATATGTACATGTATCTGCAATAACTCTTCAATTTATGAATTGAAAAACTGATGATTGATAAAAGTGTAAATAATTTTTCCCCCGTTGGTAAAAAGATGTAATATGCATGTGTTTTATTTTTACTGCTTATTCAGAAAATGTCAATTTTGCCCATAACTGAAAATTGAGAGACTCAAGGAAAACAATTTTTGAAGCAGCTCAATTTAAAAAACCCAAAACACGAATACTCATCACTTGCATCTGTGTCTTTTTTTTTTTTAATAATTAATCGAAGCAATTTGTACAGTAGAATAATTATTAAGTGTGTTGTATAATTGAAGAGCCAAAAAACAGGTGTTTCGTTTTTTTTTCTTAAGATTTGTTTTATCAAATGTTTAAATTTGGTTATTCGACGTTTGGAGTATTTATGCCTATACGTATAGATGAACTCCATGATTGGAGGTTTGAGAGATGTAAGGATTTATAGAAGGGCGTGACTTCAACAAATCCCATGTAAAAACTTATAATTGCATGAATTGCGCAAAGACATTCACTCCGACATTGATTCCATGTAAGCTTTCTCAAACCCTACTACATGTAAATCACTTTTGTTGGGGGGGGGGGGGTTAAAGGGGTAGGAGATTATTAAGTATAAATATCATGCACTTCTTCCTCATTGTATTACTAAAAATTAAAAGGTATGTGTAACTGATGGCTTGTGAGAGAGATACGCAATACCCAATGTTTTAATAGAGGTTTTCCCGGCTATTTTAAAACATTTTTCGTTCGAATTCATCGATTCTTATATTCAAATTCATCCAGCAACATCGATTTTAGCGCACTTTCAATGTTTAATTTCGTCTTTTGTCAGACAATTTCAAATTTTGTCCAAACACGTTCTACAGTGAGAACGCGTGTTCGACCAGGAGTATTTGATTTTCTCTCGTCTATGCCGAGTGGTGTTATTCAGAAATCAAATTCGTCTTATTAATTGATACAAGACGAATTTGATCTCTGAATGCTGCCATCCGGCAACAGCTTGGACGAATTTGATCTGTAATGACCGTATTCTCGACCCGTTGACTAAGAGGGTGACCAATTTTTATAATTGGATGGTAAATGACTAAATTTTTTTTTTTTTTCAATTTCAAGAACATTTATTTCCATCTTTTCACAACATTTGATTATAATACAAAATAATGAAAAATTATACTGATGGAGGCATGCTAAAAAAAGCCGAAGCTTATAACATATAACATGCCTGTACACATACATAACAAACTCACACGATAGACGAACATTTAGAATCAAAAAAGAAGCACAAACAAACAATTAGAGAAAAGGACAAACAAATGTGATAAACATTACAAAACTACAATAATAGTAACGGAAGCGTATAGAACAATAGAGGAGCAGCGGCAGAGATGACAAGATAAATAAAAAGCAAAGCAAGAGGTAAAAAGCAGGCAAATTAAACTGAGAGAAACGAAGAAGCGGAGAAGCTATGTAATATAATGGGCGAGCAGATGCGTCTTATAATGATTTTTAAATCTGCCTACAGAGGATTGAGATTTGATAAGTGGGTCAAGTCCATTCCAGAGACGTGGTCTTGTTAACAGCCTGTGCAAATTTTCGTTGATGAAATTAAATGATAGAGTTGGTGAATTAGAGTGAAAAATCTTTTAAAATAGCCAGGAAAACCTGAAAATTCATTAACAAAAATAACACATTTTTGGGGGGAGGGGGGTGGGGGGGGGGGGAGGAATGGCCCCCGTATGCCAACTTTTGCTTGTTCTTCGTATTCAATCATTAGGTTTCGCCTAGACCATAAGTGGATGTTATGATGTGCAGTCCATGAAAGTTATCACAACTTTTCATTCAGCCGTGTAAAAACTGTATATTAGGCCAAAAAAAAAAAAATATTCGGTCTCTGGTCAGACCAAAGTTCCGGAATTGACGCGGGGACGCGGCTTCTTTTTTTTTTTTTTCAAGCTTGGATCGTACAGACAAGGTGGGGTACTATTTTGCTTTTTTGGTGTCCTCGTGTACATTGGTGTCCTCCATAATTTGCCTTGGTGCTCTCGATCATTTGCCTTGGTGAAATTTCCCATTCCTTGGTGCTCTTTGGTAAAAAAAAATTGAGGTGCGGCAGTAGAGGGCGCTGTTGGAGCTACCGCGGAACATTTTGGGAAAAAAAAGATTGACGTGCATGATTAAAATCGATGCACGCCCTGATCAGAAACCGACTTATTTTTTTTTTGGCCTGAGCTAATAAAGCCATCCTACTTAAAATCCAAATTTAAATTTTGTATCCTTAAAACTTAAATACCTGTTATCCCTGGTATGCATGCTCCTTAAAAATAATGTTTACATGTATTTCTTCCAAGTGATCCATGGACAGTAAAAACCCCAAAGTAATGTTCATTTCACCAATTTGATTCCTTGTAAAATTACAAGTCAGGTACAGGCTGGTGGCGATTCGGTATTTTAAAAACAAAGAAAGTGTATTTCATTTTAACCTTATTATTCCAACGGTTTTGTAATGGAATTTCACCAAGTTTTCACACTGGGGCCATCTTGTGAAGTTCCCGGAACGGCCAGTTATGTAGCAATAGAATATGCGACCACAACAAAAGGCACCAGTCTAGTTAAAACACGAGCCTCGTTTTGGAACTTGGGCTCTGGCTGTGCATGGTCAAGTATGAAGGAGAAAAATAAAAAAGTGTATCAGAAAGTTATAATAGTCTAGTGCTTCTTGTGTGTTACTGTTTAGGCCACACAAAAAATGTTGGTCTCTGGTCAGCGCGCGTGTCGATTTTAATCATGCGTGTCGATCTTAATTTTTCCAAAATGTTCCACGGTAGCTCCAACAGCGCCCTCTATTTCCGAACTTCATTTTTTTTTACCAAAGAGCACCAAGGAATGGGAATTGCACCAAGGCAAATGATCGAAAGCACCAAGGCAAATTATGGAGGACACCAATGTACATGAGGGCACCAAAAAAGCAAAAAAAGTACCTACCTTGTCTGTACAATCCAAGTTTGAAGAAAAAAAAAAAATTGGCCGCGTCAATTCCGGAACTTTGGTCTGACCAGAGACCAATTTTTTTTTTGGGGGGGCCTTATTTTGTGTACATATTGGGTCAAAGAAAACACTTCTCGGTACCAATCAGTTGTGATGCTTGACAATTGTACATGTACATTGTTACTTCTTTCCCCCTTTTAAGAAAACTTCACTGTTCTCTTCGAACAAATTCAAGGAGTCCACATGTTGATGTAAAGAGCTCAAACCTACTATTACATACATGTAGATAGAGTCTACAAAATCGGAGAAAAGGGGAAAAAATGAAACAATGTACAGTTTCCAGATGCCACTTCTTTGGTTGTGTACTAAGTCTATGGAGAGTCGAGTGCTTTGGCAAAGAATTTTCTAACAAAATTGGAAATGTTTTTGATTCATGTCTTCAACATTTTGCAATGACACCTTCGTTGAGATAATAAATGCTGGAAAAAGTGAAATCAGGATGCAACATTCTTTCCAAAGAAAAAAAAAAAAAAAACTTATAGCTGAAAACTTGCATGACATTTTGTGACACCATAAAAAACACATCCAACTACACTCCTTTCTATGTGGCAAATATGCTTTTTTATTGATCCTCAAAAATCACATCACAAGACATATCTTAATAGCGTTTCTCCGTATTACATGAGTTAGTGGACTTCAGATGACTATTCCACCGTTCCCCCTATGTTGCCATCAACCTCGGAACTAGTTCCAAGTTCTAGAACTTGGCAAACTGTTTCTTTTCGGAGCCCGGGGCCTTGTTGACTTTGAGAACGTTGAAGCGGACCGTCTTGCTGAGAGGCCGACACTCGCCCACCGTCACACTGTCGCCCAGCTGAACGTCCCTGCAAAATACACACAACCGAACAGAAATTTACTCAATTTTGCCCCAGAACTCATGAAAAGTGATTGTGCTAAATGTTTTGTAGGACTTGAATCAAGACGAGCTGTTTCGGAATTCTGTCCAAAGTCTTTGGGTTTAGGGAGGTTAGGAAAGGGGTATTGAGCAGGAGAGTGCGGCCTAGTGGTTAGGGTTCCTGACTCATGTTCAGAGGGTCAGGGGTTCAAATCCAGCTGCTGGTCATATGTTGTCCTTGGGCAAGCCACTTCACCCCCACTTGCCCCTCTCCAGGCAGGAGTACAAATGTGTACCGGCATTAGCTGGGGAGTAACCTGCGATGGACTAGCATCTGATCCAGGCATGCCAGGGAGGAATAGAATTTTTCTTGGTCGTTTCATGCCAAGGAAACCGGAGATAAACGCCGGCCTGATGGGCTGTATTGGCTTGTGACAGACTTTACTTTTTACTTTGGGCTATGGACTGAGAATAGACCAATCTTTAACCCTAACCGCCCTGAATCCTCCAAAATCCTTTTTGCAAATTGGAGGAATGTGCAGGATTGAGGTTACATGGCAAAAAGTGGGTTGCTGATTTCGGAGTACGCACTGTGTCAAGGTCTTGGGCCGGACCTTGTGTTGTTTATGCTCAGCCGTGCATAAATGTAGTCCTTGATTATACTCGACATCCTCCGCACTGCTCCAGGATGTCACTGCCTCTGCCTCAGCCTTTTGACAGTCGTAGCCGGAGGATTTTGCAGGATTCAGGCAGTGGTCACCCCTCCATGGACCATATTCAAGAAACAACGGGGGAATTTGCAGGATTGAGGCTATATGCTATTTTTCCATGAGGCCAATTGGAGGATTTTGCAGGATTGAGGCTACATCCTAGCAAAAAGGCCTAGGGAATTAGGGTTAAGCTATGCCAAGTGCCCACAAGGGCAACAACAAGTTTTTTTTTTAAATGCCATGCTGTACGTTCCAACCACTACAACAAAACCACAAACCTGAAGCAGGGGGACAGGTGGACCGACATGGTCTTGTGGCGCTTCTCAAACCTCTTGTACTTGGTGATGTAATGTAGGTAATCCCGGCGGATGACGATCGTCCGTTGCATCTTCATCTTGGTGACCACGCCCGACAGGATCCGGCCGCGGATGTGAACGTTGCCCGTGAAGGGGCACTTCTTGTCGACGTACTGTCCATTCTTGGCCTGAGGAAAGATGTTCAACATTATTTTTTTCCTCCACATGTTTATACATCACATCCTGATGTTGGTACTGCTGTGGAATGACCTACTAGTACTTATGAGAATAATGCACTTCAGAAAACCAGATCTATTAACCCTGCTATGCCCAGTGCAGTTGGCAGAGAATATCAAACATTTTAAATTTGCCTGACTAAAAGGGTTTTGAAAGGTGAAATAGTGCTGGAACTTTGAAACTTTTCGAAAGGTTTCGGAAGGTGAAGCAACTCTGTGGGCAAATTCAGTAAGTTGCCTGTCAATACCTTTCAAAAGGAATTGAAAGGTGTGGTAGTGCAGTAACAATAAATTCTGGAGGATTTTAAAAGGTCCGGCATTTTTTGTCCTCCAATTTGCCAGAACCCAGATTTTGAGGTGTTTTGAATGGTCAAACCACAGGAGAGTTAATGCGTCACTGTGGCGTGAACATTAAGCCATTTGCGAGTGACCTATACCCTTTTAAATTTTAAATGTCCGAAGAACTGCACTTTTCAATAAAATTAACCAAAATGGTTACGTCGGTCGTAACGAAAGCCACACTGTGTACAATAATTTCTTGAAACATTCACACAAAACTACATTGAACGCAAAACATGAACATGATCAATGGGAAAAAATGTTGCAACCTGATGGCACTTCAGCAGTTGTAAACTACATTTTAAAAGTCTATGGAGAGTTAAGATATAGAGTTAAGTATTTCTTAACAAAATTGGAAATGTTTTGCAGTGCCAGATTCATGTCTAATCATCATTTTTGCAATTACTGACCTCTCAACCCAGGTGGGTGCCGCCATTATTTAATGGTGGGAAGGTAACAGACTAGCTAGTGGAGGAGGTGTGGCGACCCCCCCCCCCCCCCCCACAGCAGCATTATAAGAGTCTGGCCCAGTCGCTAAAGAGAGATGGGCACTTCGTTTTTGTGAGCAGTCAGCACAGGTTCGTCCCCTTTAACCCTAACCCCCTAGGCCCTTGTTGCTTACAACCATCCTCAATCCTCCAAAATCCTCCAAAATTTTTCAACTCCGCCTAAATTTTTCAAAATTGTCAGACAGTCCTGCCTCAAAATGCTTTCATCTTCAATCCTCCAAAATCCTCCTCATCCCAAAACTTTGCACTCGTGTTTAAATGAAGGATAACCAACGCCAAATCCTGCCTCAAAATGCATTCATCCTCAATCCTCCAAAATCCTCTTGTGCTTCATTCACCATTCATCCTCAATCCTCCAAAATCCTCATGTGCTTCAATCACCATTCATCCTCAATCCTCCAGAATCCTCATTTGATTCAATCACCATTCATCCTCAATCCTCTAGAATCCTCCAAAACCGCCAGGAGGATTTTGGAGGAGTGAGGTGGGTTAGGGTTAATGATATGAAGAAAAAAGGTTGCAACATTTTTTTGAGACAAATGTTCCCGTCAATAAGTTACATACCTCGGAAGGTGTCTTGAAGCCCAGGCCGACGTTTCGCACAAGACGAGCTGCCTTCTTTCCAGACCCAAGGAGGCGCTTCTTGTTCTGAAAAACTGTCGGCTGCTTCTGATACGCCCTCTCTGTCTGAAATGGTGGATTTTTAAAACAATTCAAATTAATTTGGCCAACACACTTGACATGCTTGACTGACTAAAAAGTAGGCCTAAAATACATGAAATAGCTTGAGTAACTCCAGCTCTAATCCGTAATCGTATAAGTGTTGGCCCCCTAACCATAAACAATAGATAGTGGATATTTTGCCGAAGGTAACGCCGGCAAACTAACGTTTACTAAAGGTTTTTGCCGGCGGCAATCCATGTCAATAGAGGGCGCTGTACTCTTTAAGATAGGGCTAAATTACAACATGTATTAAATTCCCACGAAAGTTGTGTAGCACAATCGGTGTAGTGGTTAAGCAATGGCTCTAGTGAGTGGGATGTCCCGAGTTCGAATCCTGATCCCCATCACATTTTTTAGTCCGAGTAACTTGGACCCAACTTATCGCCTTTTTTAACATTTGGACATGGTCTGGCGATAGTAAGGTCCAAGCTAATACCGAGACCTAGACAACACAGTCCCAAAAACCAACATTTTCCAACAAAAAACATCAGATTTCCCCTTCAAAACGGCCTCCAAATTACTAGATATGTCACCTGAGGTACAAGTAGACATAGATGATTAAGATGGTTGTACTTAAGTTTACTTATGATCCGGAAAAAAGTGAAATTTTCCGTTCAATTCTGAAGACCCCCTCTGCCTAGGTTGTCGTTGTTGTGCTCACGTTCAAAACTGCATGATAATGGCGTCTGACTTCGACCTCATGCAAATGTCGTGATGACACGGCAGATTCCCCTGCGCCGCGCCAACGACTGTTTCCTGATGTAGAGTGCTGTGTAAGTTCGCGGTACGCCTAGGAGTCGCGCTGGCTAGCCAGGCGCATGGCTGGCGCTCTACATCAGGAAACAGTCGTCGGCGCGGCGCAGGGGAATCTGCCGTGCATGCAGTGCATTATGCGCAAGCGCGCCGTCCCGACATTTGCATGAGGTCGAGGTCAGACGCCATTATCATGCAGTTTTGAACGTGAGCACAACAACGACAACCTAGGCAGAGGGGGTCTTCAGAATTGAACGGAAAATTTCACTTTTTTTCCGGATCGTAAGTAAACTTAAGTACAACCATCTTAATCATCTATGTCTACTTGTACCTCAGGTGACATATCTAGTAATTTGGAGGCCGTTTTGAAGGCGAAATCTGATGTTTTTTGTTGGAAAATGTTGGTTTTTGGGACTGTGTTGTCTAGGTCTCGGTATTAGCTTGGACCTTACTATCGCCAGACCATGTCCAAATGTTAAAAAAGGCGATAAGTTGGGTCCAAGTTACTCGGACTACACATTTTTAAGGTTTTTTTTTTCATCCCCAAATAAATAAGAATATTCTTCTTTTATTATTTTAATATGTCTCTCCAAACATTTTAAAATTTTTATTGCAGAGTATTACTTTTTCTTTTTCAGATTTGTGGCTCTGGAGGATTTTTTTTTTAAGGGAAATAAAGTCTGAAATTATAAAATGGTCCGATTCCCATCTTGTAAATACAAAGTTACAACGATATTAATATTGGCATGGAGCCAGACTAAAATTTGTCACCGGAAAATGTTTGAATTACAAAAAAACAGTAACTGCGCATGTTCAGTGCATATCCGGCAAACTAACTTTTACTGAAGGTTTGCCGTCTCCGGCAAAATATCCACTGTCTAAACAATACTTTCTGCGGTGTGCATGTTATGGTCGATAGAGGGCGTTTATCATCAATGCGCAACACGCGTACGACCGTCAGTGACTGTTCACGACGCGACAACGTTGAAAACTCAGATTTATTTCGGCAGAGTTGCCTTTGAGCAGTACATCAACAACCTTATTTTGTAAACACTATGAATCTACTATCTTTGAACTTAGTAACTGGCGGTAAAGAATGTTTGTAATCATGTGAAAACACGTGCAAATGAGGGATTACTTCACGAGAATTTTGCGATTCCCTACCTGATCCGCCATGTTGAACGTGATAAAAAGGCCGATTGGTAGTATGTTATATGTAACGTGTAGTTGATGTAAGTTAGAATCGAGAAAGAAATTGTTTTACAAACAAACTATATCATGTTTAGCCGAACATAAATGATCGGGAAACAATTAAAAGTTGAAATCATTAATGAAATAAACTCACATCAATTGCTTAAATTGCGAAAAATTGGTTTACACCTACTGTACGTACAATATTACTTTTCCTTGGCTGGTGTACAAAATATCAGTGTGCACATGACAAACAAATAAATGGCTTCAAACTGGTAGCCGTTTCCATGCGGTGTAAGAATAGACTTGTACTAGTATTAAATTTGCTCCCAGCGCGCTAACGTTGGGCGGAGTTAGGCTTATAAAAGAGGGGCAATGAGTCGGGTCTTAAAAATGTTCGTTTTGAATAATTCAATTAGTTTTAATTGAATGTAATTTAAGTTAACTTCCAGAAAAGTAATATGTTTAGTTTCTTAAGCTCGCGCTTAAGGTTTAAATTAATCCCGGAGACAAAACTTAAGGAATTGCGGCCAAAAGGTGAAATGAATCAGCCAGATTTTATATAGTAATGCAAGCTGTGTTCAATTCTGTCTTTCTTCTCCCCCCCCCCCCCCTCAAATGTTCACTTGAATAAATTTCGTTTTGTTTTTAAGTTAATGAAGGCAACTTCCAATGTGTCCTTCCTCGGCTCCTCGGCTCTCGTAAAGTTTTCCACAGCGCCCTCTATCAAGATTGTAATGGTCAGACGTTTGCGAAACCTCGTTTTTGTTTCTGCATGGGCTTCACCATTTACTCCCGAGTAATTATGAACCTTGAATCAAGGCTTCTTGCTTTCATGTCGATTCCAATTCAAACGAACGTCTCTTATTCTGAAGCAGGAAAAAAATGAAATTAGAGTCGGTTCCTAAGGTCATATATGGACCTATAACTAATATAGTCCTGAAGCCCATCCGCTTACGAAACCGAGTTTTAGCAAATCACCACAGAGTCAACAGTTCAAGGCTGCAATTACCATAACAATCAAGCTTCACCGCCCTCTTTCTATGCAAGGTATACAGAAAACTCAGCTGCGATGGAGTTATACCACGTCACAATAATATTTACTATTCATAACATATAATGACCTAAAATCGCCCGCACACACAGTCTGTGGCATAAATATGTATTTAAAAAAAGAGGACAGTTAACAGCTCACTATACGTGTTGACACAGCAGACATGAAACCAACTACATGTAGCTCTGTTAATTCCTGCGAGTGTGAATTAGAATGAAATATCATAGAATTCTTGTTGCCGATTTATCATGATGATGACGATGAGGACATATCTGTTACCGGCTATTGCTCTATTTTGGGCCAGTTTTGGTATGTGTGTTTACAGAGAATAATTGCTGCTAGGTCAGAATAAAATTAATCATTCAAACAAGCAAAATGATATCACTCGTGCCGTTTAGTTGAGCCATCATTTGAGTCAGTTATTATGCGATAATGTGAAGTCCATTGGGGGCAAACAAAACCGGACGATACTAATTAAGCACATTCAAAAAGCCTAATTTGTTTTGGACATACATGCATTGCACAATGTCTACATTAATCTTGCATTTGTTAAAGTTCGGTGTTTCCATAAATTGCCGGATGAGATTTTGATGAAAGGGGAGAGGGCCATGTATGTCGCGTGGCTTTTAATTGTGATGACATTACACTTGCACATGCGCAGTTTTATTTTTGTCAAATTATGTTTTGCAAATTAATTACTAAACGTGAATTGCCCTGGAGAGGAAAGGTGTTGCATGTTCAGCTCAGCAAAAAAAAGAAGAAGTTTAACCTGCATCAAAGCAATCTTCAAAATTAAATATTTCTTCCTGTTTTAACAATAAAGAATTTGATTGATTTGATTTCACACCAGGCAGCACTGGCTCCCTTAAATGCTTCACTTGTAGTTCAGACGTCAAGGCCAACTGCAGGGATCCGTTCTACAACGTGAGTGTCGACATGCCCTCGTGCGGCTATGAAATAAGCCAAGGAGTTTGTACGGTGAGTTAAAAAAAGGAGATGAACTGCAAGCAACCTCAAAAAAATGGCGGTTGGTGTCCTGACGTCACAGCCAACTTTAAATCAGTTTCTACTCTAAGATAATACTCGGCACTAAACTTGCATGTATAGGCCTATTGTTCTTTTTGTGGATTTGATAAAGGTAATCAGCTTAGACCAAGACTGTGGGTAAAGTTGGGACTGAGCATGCGCAATATGACGTCACACTGGCTTGGCAACCAATCACTGCGCGGTTAGACCATGGGCAACTTACCACAAAGAAATCGTCGAGTGAGGGCTCCAGATCTCTTTATAACCATCCCTTATACAAGCGTCCTTTGTTTTAAGTTGTGTCATTTTTTAAAGACTTTGCATGAACAAGCATGATTGAGGACTGTACACGTTTTATCAACTAGTGGCAGCACAACACTCTGTTCTGTTATAATCATCATTTATCATTTCAACACCATTCTACACAATAAACAATCAAATCATCCTGATTTTGGTATTTGTGCTTGCAGCAGCAACCGGGTACGACGACCCATTGTTTTAATTACATCTTTCAATAATTCGAACCTTTAAAGACTTGATAGTATTAACAGAACTATCATCTATTGTTTAGGCGTAAGAGCCTTTCATTATAGACACATTTAAGTAATCAATTAATTAAACAGAATTATACCTGAGACAACACTCGTTTTTGCAATTGTTATGATTATTTCTAAATATTCGTACCCCATTTGATGTTATGTTTAGTCTCATCGCTGTGATGACTACCAGGTACGACAGTGTTTTAATTACGGTCATTCAATAATTTGAACCTTAAAGACGTCTTGGTGGAGACAAAATTTACAGAACTAGGGTCTATCATTTAGGCGTAAGAGCCTTTCATTTAGCATATTTGCGTAATCAATAATAGAATTAACCTTGAGACTTCTCTCCTCTTTACAATTGTTATGGTTACTTCTGAATATTCGTACCACATTTGATATTATATTAAGGCAAGCTTTTTTGGTTTTGTACAATACCAAATACCTTCCGCTGAGGATAAATCACGCATACTATGGTGCAAGTCTCTATTCAGACTTGTTCGCGTTCTGAACGCATTAGATCGCTAGTACAATTCTAGCATCTCATCTAGTAGATCTGATCTTTATGAATCTTACTTCCAACCTGCAAATCTCGTTTTATACCTCCGTCAGAATCTACTGCGCCCATACCTTGATTGCCACTTGTGGATTTCATTTGAACCTTTAAGCTTTACAGAACTTTCCTTTAGGCTTCAGAGCCTTTAGCCTTTAACTATACTTAATGAATAATCGCAAGATACCACTCGTCCATTACATTATGGCTGTTTCTGGATTTGTACCCCATTTAACATTGCTGTGTTGACTGCCAGATACGAAAAACCAAAACCATATTTGGAAAATGGAAACGTACACCTGAACTATGCAAGACAACTCCTTCAGGCAAGGGTAGCAATGTTCGTCTCTTATAAATACTGTTTGAGACATTGTACAACTATGAAATTTCAACCAGACTTGACAACTGTGTTAAAAATTGTGTGTTGTCGTTGCTGCTCGCAAGCGTGAAGTGATCTACCTTCAATCCAACCACGCACACATTCCTGTGCCAGTCCCTATTCAAATTACCCGCCCTTAACCACTCTACCGTGTCTCATTTACATATCAATGATAAAGCAGATTTATTCTAATTCGTCCCGGTACTCAACCGAATAAATCAATATGTCTCTTGTGCTTTCATGATGAAGTTACTAGGTGTATAAAAAAAAAAAGAAACCCAGATCTAAATATAAATTACAGAAAATCTAATAGATATTTTCAAATAAGTTAAAGATCATGTGAAACACAAATGTGTCCACTTTTCAAGTACAGGTTTTGACCCTTGACAGAATCACAATGAATGCTTTATCAGTCATCCGTGGCCACAGACACACAATCAAGGTATCATTGGAAAGAGGACACATTGGTGTGATCACGTGATCTTCAACTCATTTGAAAATATTTATTAGATCTTTTGTACATATCATCTGGGCTTCTTTTTTTTTTATCCTCCTAAGATTTTTTTTTTTGGTTACGGCGCTCGATGTTTACAAACGAAAGAAAAGTCTGTTTGGGGCCTAATTTTGGACTGCACTTAATTGCAATGAAAAGATGTTTTGTTTCGTCGTCTCCATTCCTCAGAAAATGATAACTGCAGAAGACGTCGTGATCCGAGGCTGCGGGCTGAAGACCTCCTGTCCTGACACGGGCGACAACGGCTGCGAACAAACCTCGGGAACCACGAGGTGTTGTTGCAATGAGGATGGGTGCAACAGCGCCACCACGCGGATCGTAGACTACTTGGTCCTTACCGCGGCCGTAACGTTCGCCGCAGTGGTTGTCAATGTTGAACTACTGTGATGTGAATCTGCTTACAAATACTCCCTTGAAAAATGGAGTAACTTTAATCTCGAATACAGTCCTGCGAGACTGGAACCTTTACGCAGAGTTTTGAAAAAAAGGCATGCCTTAGGCCAAAAAAAAAAAGTCTCCGGTTTCTGGTATGCGCGCGCGTCGCCGTAACCATGCGCATCGGCAAAATGAAAAAGTTTGTTTTCAATGAAAGATGATGTCTCAAAACCGCCAAACTCACTGGTTTGACTGGAATCCTGCTGCTTCACAATTTTAACGTGTTTTTAGATGGGGTTATGATCGAGAATAAGCTTTATGTGGCCTCTCTGGACTCCCATATATTTGCACTAAGTCTAGTCGGGCACCGGCATTTGCAGTCATCAGCCTACATTTTGAGGCAAAAAATCAGGTAAAAAAAAAAAAAAAGCCGCGTCGCCGCACCACTTTTGGGCAAGCTCCATACCAGAAACCGGAGACTTATTTTTTTTGGCCTTAAAGTAAAATGGAGATGGACATCGAGAATGAACAAACGAGGACACTCGCAAGGACAGCTAGCCATACAGGTGCACTTTGGGGGCGCTATATAACATGTTATAGCGCCCCCAAGGGGGGAAAACATGTCAGACTCAGAGATCGTTTTGTTCCCATCGAAGGGTGCTGTTAATGTTTCCGGTTGCTAATAATTTATTAGTGTTTCCACAATCATAAGAATGGCAACTCAAAGAATATGTGTGTACATTACATTTTGTGTTTTATTCATGTACATTGATATCGATAATATGGCAATGGATATTGGCCCGAATTGTTACATTATGTATGTTTCACCTAATTCAACCAGCTACGTCGAACATGACATACATTTTTGGCGAACGATTGCATCTCATGAAGCATGAAAAATACTAGAGCTATTGAAATAGCAGCAAAAAATATAATGGCTTTTATATGAGAACGAAAATTAAATAAACCAGATGAAATGTCATGACTTGTCAGGCGCATGCATATGCCTGACAGTTTAAAAAAAACAAATCATAGTTACATTCGACGAGGAATGGGTTTATGAGGCACACCTAATTAATACAAAACAAATGACTAATTTTTGCAACGCGACATACAACATTATAGGAGTATATCTTGACGATTCAAATTCCGATTGAATACAACTGCATATAACAATCTTCGTTCGTAGTACGAAATTAAACATATTTATGAATAAGCTGATTCGAATCACTTAGAAAAATTGTATCTTCGCTTGAATAGATGTCATAATAAAAAATGATGACAAATAATCTTAGCCTGGTGTCTAAATGACTAAATTGGTTTTCTTCAAAGCGTATGAATTTTTTCGCGGATGAAAAAAAATGATAGAGTCGGTGAACTTGTCTGAATAATTTTTTTTAAAAGCCGGGAAAACCTATTATTACAATTTTTTCCCAAGATTGTTTGTTAATGATGTTCTTTACGGTTTAACAAAGGCGATCAACATTGACACGCGTTACCTTTACGAAGGCCCCCTTCAATGGCGAAATTACAGTTCCAGTGACTTCTTATTCTCCATGGATATGGAAGGCTACGTCGTGCGTGAGTCTACAGCAATATTGGAATGCCGATAGGCGATCAATGTACATGTACATATACACTCACAAGACCCCTCCAGTAAGTTAGCTCCGCCCAGTGCGCACGTGGGCAAATTAACACGTGTTCCTCACCAATGCCACGCTGCGTTTTCCTGCCGCGCGCATCATACGCGCGCGTGCACGCACGTCGGAGTTTAGTGCACGCGCGTCGGACCTAAAATTACGGCTGTGATTAGTCAGAACACCATGGGGCGGTGCTTACTGGATCGGTCCATTGAGGAGCCATTAATATTGTACACGTTAATGACTAAAGTTATTGCCTAGTGGCGGATTATCTGAAACGCTTTTGCTATTGAAGGGGGCCATCTTGGTATAAATTAAAAGCTTGCCCGCATCGGTATACCAAATATCATGAGCAATGTAAAGAATTATATGAGGAATCTGTTAATCACACTGTCAAATAAAACATGACCAGTTTGCATGGGTTCCTCTATAAGCAAACCACTGCGACAAGCGAGACAAATATCAGACTTCTGGTAAGAGGGTTTTGCTTGATGGCTGATTGGGCTCCGGATCCGTCTGTGACTGGCTCCTTGGTCGGGAGGTCCGGAGTCAGGAAAGGGCCGGAGTTGCAAAGGTTACCAGAGCAGCACGAGGCGCAGCCGTATTCCACGCACTGGGATTGACACGGCAGGGTGGTTGCGCAGTCGCGGCGTATGATGGAGCCAATGTCGGCGCCGCTTTCGTATTGTGTCTACAGCACACAACATAAAAAGAACCAAATTAAAAAAAAAACTGTACAGAATATGTGCAGTGCTAAATCTCATTTTCCTCCCTTCCTATAAAAAAAAAACATGGCGAATATAGACCTCTTTGCCAACCCATGGTTGTTGAACTTTTTGTCAATACATGTATACCACGGTTTGGCAAACTATCATCTGTCAAACTCACATAAACAAAGAAAAGTTGTGAATGTCTCCAAACGAATCAATTGATTGGTGAAAATACAAGTACATAGCGCCACCGAAGACCTACACAAATGCCTCCTAGACATTGGGAGTGTAAATATGCAATTTGTGGCAAAATAGGTTGCCGATTATCCACGGATCAAAACAAGCCCTTATCTGTTTCCACTGAAAGGAAAGTCATGCATAATTCCAACATAAATCATGTTTGTGATTGGACAGACTGCCATCGTGGGCAGGGCTTAACTGACCGGCCTGTCACTATTCCAGTTCGTTAGTGTGACGTCAGTTCAGTTTAAACCACGCCCACGGGCCATTAAATAGAATTGGAACCATCGGAACCGGAAGCTAACGCACCTTGAACGTTTGTCCAATAGGCGGTAGTAATCACGGTATGCGCGCGTGTATGACGGTTCACTAACGAACCAACCTCGTCCCCAGTGCTTACTTTATTTCCAACCGCGTTTCCAATAGTAAACCCTGGATAGGAAACTTTCTTCCTGTATCCTGATTGGATACCGCAATTGGCTAGTAATGGATTTTTATCGTGTACTTGGTGCTATTATTCACAACGTGCAGTACGTGTTTTCGCGATCATTTGTCCACGCCTTCTCGAAAATACTAATTTCCTTTCCAATTTGCTCATATTAATATGAAATATGATACTGTATGTTGTCTCGATAAGATCGTAACAGTTTGATTTCAAAATTCGTGTTTTCGTAACTCACGCCGTGCTCGCGCTGCTACGAATTGACTCTGTTTTTACCCCAGACACCGCATACAAAAACAAACGCTAATGTGTAACGCATATCCAGGCACCAGACTGTTCCTCATTTGCATACGTGTGCAAAAATCTTGCACATGCAAATGATCCAATACCAGGGTGAGAGAGCAGGTAGTGATGGGCGCGTACTGTTCGACACCCTGGGGACGAGGTTGCTAACGAACCGGATAAAGGGACACCTTCAACTCACCTTGCATCCCTTGTCCTTGTCGCAAGGTACTATGTAAACCTTCGATGCGTCAAACGGGAGTCCACAAGGCCCGCTGTCATCAGGGGCGGGAGATTCCAAGAAGGTCTGCACACACGAATAGCAATTAACTGTATATTCAAGACCATCTGAGAGGGACATGCCGTTGCAGAGATCTCTGTTACAGCAGTGCGTGCAGTCGGTGCCGTTCGTGCCATAACAGCGAGTCTCGCAGGATTTGTTGGCTGAACACGAACGGTTGTATTGAGTACCTTCTTTTATGGTCTGAAAGACGGACAAGCAGATAATTATCAAGACAGAGGAGGACGCACTGGATTACTTATAAAGAATGAACACTCACAATAATTACCGCGAGTTAAAAAAGTCACTTTGGGCGACTAAAACTAAGAAGATTCAGTATGAAATTCATGCAACTGAGTAGACAAGATTCAGTATGAAATTCATGCAACCGAGTAGACCGAATTTCAGTCTGCAATTTAAATCATTTTCACTCGAACTCGTCTGACCAGTGCATAATTGGAAAGTCACTGTGATGAAATTACAATACCCATGCAAAAGGAATCGAAGTTTATTTGCTCAAAGTTCAAAATGTTCACCTAGTTCTGCATATAGGAAGGTCACTGTAGCGAAATTACAATACCCATGCAAAAGGAAACGGAGTTTATATGTGCTCAAAGTTCAAGATGTTGACCAAGTTCTGCATATAGTTCAGGTAGTGAAACAATTCTAAATCGTTGTATTATCTTCAAGCCGAGAGCCTGCCCGAAAAGAAACTGCTATTATCTGATTGATAATACTTAAACGTGAATGCAATGAGTTCAATGATTTAAACAAATAACTTATTTCACCACAAAGGAAACTTGCCACAGGTTCACCTTTATTGCTGTTGTTTGCAAAATGACTTGTGTTGGATTTGAACCTTTGACCTTTAAAACGAAAGTCTCTTCCCTTCGCATGCTTTTAAAGGCTGACGAGCGACAACGACCTTGCAGTTTTGCAGATTCATGTTTTCATTACCAGAAAAAGAATACAGGCCCGTCACCATTGGCGGGGGGGGGGGGGGGGGGGCAAAGTACCAACTAGGGGAGCCCACTACCATAAACAAACCACAAAAATAAATATGTATGCCTTTTGCCGTTTGGAGGCAATTGCTTGCCACGGGGGGGGGGGGGGGGGAGCCCCACCGGGAACCCCCTCCCCTCCTTGGCGACGAGCTTAGAATATCAAAACAAAACTATTCTGATTTGGCTATGTTTTACTCACCACACAGAAGTGTTCCTCCTCACAATCAATTTGAGGGATGTTGTCTGAGAGGAAGGGATCCATACACTTGCTACCACTGCCACCTTCACAAGAGTAGCATTTTAGGCCAAGGCTTGTTCCTAGGTTTGGGTGAAAACATCATTGTCTGACAAATCATGTACACTTTTCCCAGCGTATTCTCAGAAGTCCCTAACGCACGGAAATAGCAGTAGTGTAGTACTCGGTACTCGTACTCAAGTGCTACTCGAGTACTTTTTTTGGAGTGCTCGTACTCGTTCTTATACTCGAATGTCAAAGTACTCGTACTCGAAATGACGGTACTCGAACACGGGCAGCAAAGTACTTGTACTCGAATAGCAGTA